ATCATGGACAAACTTCCCAGCAGCAGCTCTCAGCCTCAGAGAAGCCTTGGCCAAAGTTCTGACCTCCCAGAAAAGAGCTCCACCCAAATCATTCACTCCCTTGTTTCTGCTACTGAATTAGACTAAGGCTAAGGGAATCCTGTAGCCACAGTCTTTTCATTCTTCTAAGGTTTCAGATCGTCCCTGATGCTAAGCTAGCTGAAACGCCGAGGGCTGTACACTCAAGTAGAGGAAACCCCAGTGGAAGCAAGACAGATGATTCAGTAAGTAAAGGGGTTTACAAAATAAGCCTGGCGACCTGAGTTCATCTCCATACAAACCATGGAAATAGCCAGATGAAATGGCAACAGTATGTAATTCCAACACTCCTTCAGCAGGATGAGAGACGGAGGCAGAATTACCTAGACATTCATGGACCAGCTAGTACAGTATGCTGAGTGCAGCAGAGAAACAAGAAAAACCTTGCCTCCAACAAAGTAGAAGTTGACAAACGGCTCACAGAAGTCAACCTCTGCCTACCACATGTACACATATGCATGCATATAGACACAGATGCACAGTTAAATAATTTTTTAATAAAGGAAGAAGAGCAAAGATAAAGGAACTGTGACCTTTGGCCATTTTCACATTTATATTTCCTTCCAGTAGAAATCTGCTTCTATGTCTGCTTCCTTGCCTGACATGTGACTTCATTAATAGCAGTACAGAGATGTCCATCACTGGTCTCTGAAACTCTACTAGTCCTAGGCTATCCCAAGGCCTATTATCACATTCAACTCATCTCTATTGAAAGAAAGAAAAGAACAAGTCATTTGTAAATAAATTAAGTGACAAGTCTCTGGGACAATTGGCAGTTCCGCTGACATATTCTTGGGTGCCAATTAAGGCACTTGGACCATATCTCAAATTGATAATGACTAGCCAGTGCTGAAATTTAGAGCCTCGGCATTCAGAAGGGTTTTGTCAGTTCAAATTTTATTTCTAGGTTTTTTTCACCCAGAGTGTGCTGGACTCACTCAAGGGAGGGGGTTAGATGTCCTTTGAAAACAAATCCAAACTAAAAGTTGTTTCCTGACTCCTAGTTCTTCCTAAGGAATTCATGGATGTTGGGAGGGACAAGTGGTGAGAAATTTGTAGACCAGTTTCAAAGCCTGTGTTAGCAACCCCGTGCTTGACTGGTCACACACAAGAACCTTCTCTCCCCTGTAAGCCAGAAGAAAATTTTCCTGTAATACCTTAAGTCATCAAACTGATGTGGAAGCAAATTATATCTGCATTTAAGAAATATGGAAGCACCTTTGTCTATCCAAGTCAAAGATATTCCATGTTTATACCTAAGTCAAAAACACATTTCATGAGCTACTAATCATGATGCCACCAGTAACTAATTCAGAAGTGTGCCTCCAATCATGTAAGGCTATCCAGATAAAGATGATACATGCCTAAAACTGAAATCCTGTGTTGATTATTATCTAGCTGTGACCATGGAAAATATTCAAATATTAATTACTTTACCTCACAATGATCTTCGGCCTATAGAGAGATATCTAAAAATAACCCTTAATTAATCCCATGCTGAGTCTTAAAGCTTAAAATCTCCATGTTCGAATGTGAGCATTCTTGTCACCAACTCTGCCATCCATCAGGTACAACAGCACTTGTTTCTTTAGGGGCATGAAGACAGCCCCACACCTGGGTCCCTGAGCTTGATTTAATATTGGCTTCCACAGCTATGAATAAAGAAGCACAAGTCATCAGCCTCCTACAACACATGATCCAGGTCCTTTATTACTAGTTACTTCCCATAAATATAAGAGTCTAGGTGGCTGGAGAGATGATGGCAGCATTAAGAGCACGTGCTGCTCTTTCAGGTGACCCAGCTGTGGTTCCCAGCTCCCATGTGGCAGCTTATAACCATCTACAACTTGGGTTGTAAGAGTTACAACTCCCTCTTCTGGCCTTGATGGTCAACAGGCATTCATATGGTATATTGAGGCATTTGGAGGTAAACATTCATGCATGTAATAATTTTTTTCAGTGATAATCATCTATCTGTGCTTTTAGGGTCTTTGTAGGTTAAATTGTTCTTCCTGAAATTATGAAAGCACAGTTATCTGAACTTGACCCCCCCCCCATGTCTAACCTAAATCTCTCAAACTGCAATCTCCACTAATTTCTCCAAAGCCTGCCTTCACAGGAGACATAAACCAGCCAGTTGTTGGTATGCAGAACATTGTGCTTTGCTAACATCATTATTTCTCTCTATTTCTACCCCCTAGACAACATATTTCTACTTTCTAACAAATTTACCTGCACAAGGCTTACTTTCTCATACACCAGTGATTTCTATAACTTTTCTGATCTAGGTCCAAGTTGCCACTGAATTTAGACTGGATTCCACTGAGAGGTCAAGTTTTGGCTTAAGCAAAAGGAATTATTGGCATATATTCTTGCTAGGTTGTGATCCCAAGAGTGCAATAGAATGACAGAATGACATGTCTTCTTGCATAAGTGTTTATAATGGGCCAGACAACATGCTCAAGCTCCAGTACAGATCTCTAATCTTTAATCCCCTCTGGTGTGTGTGTGTTTGTGTGTGTGTGTGTGTGTGTGTGTGGTGGTGGTGGTGGTGGTGGTGGTGTTGGTGGTGGTGGTGCTGTTATTGTTGCTGCTGCTGCAGAAGAAGCCAGAAGTCAATCTCAAGTGCCTTCCCCAGTTTCAGTTTCCTCAGGAGCTCTGGAACTTGCCGATTAGGCAGGGTCTCGGGGATCTATAAAGATGTGCCCCCATGCCCAGCTCTGGGGATCAAATTCAAGTCCCTGTTCTTTCATGGCAAGTACTTCACTGACTGTACCATCTTTGAAATCATTTTGACCCCTATCTTATAAATGAGGTCATGGGTTAGAGGATAGCTACCTTGCCCAAGTTACTGAGCTTGAAAGAACTTAGACGTGTTTTCTACAACACTAGAGCTGTGATTGAGCTTTCACAGGTCACAGAAGCATCCCAGTCCTCCAAATCCTCAGAGCACCATGAGCTGATGTGAAAGGCACCCCTCAAAGGCATTGTTCCTCGGCTACACAGTGTAACAGCCTCTTTCTTCCCACATTATCCTTAAGTCTTAATTTGGGGCCTCAATCAACAGCTCAGGCATATGCCTTAAGCAAGAAAACCACAGGTAACTTTATGTCAAACATAGATATGAAGTTATGTATGTGAATCATTATTTTTAAGTCTTAAAATCAGCCTGAGTTTAGCTAGGCACTTATATTTTCAGTCAGTAATTCCTCAACTACCTTTGACAATTCCCCGCTCCTATCTCCTGTCTATACATATGAATGGCAATGTGACAGGTGAAAGTTCCCCACTCCTATCTCCTGTCTGTACATACGAATGGCCATGTGACAGGTGACAATTCCCCTCTCCTATCCCCTGTCTATACATACGAATGGCTATGTGACAGGTGACAGTTCCCCTCTCCTATCTCCTGTCTGTACATATGAATGACTATGTGACAGGTGAAAGTTCCCCACTTCTATCTCCTGTCTGTACATACGAATGGCCATGTGACAGGTGACAATTCCCCTCTCCTATCCCCTGTCTATACATACGAATGGCCATGTGACAGGTGACAGTTACCCTCTCCTATCTCCTGTCTGTACATATGAATGGCTATGTGACAGGTGACAATTCCCCTCTCCTATCTCCTGTCTGTACATACGAATGGCTATGTGACAGGTGACAATTCCCCTCTCCTATCTCCTGTCTGTACATATGAATGGCTATGTGAAAGGTGACAATTCTCCTCTCCTATCTCCTGTCTGTACATATGAATGGCTATGTGACAAGTGACAATTCCCCTTTCCTATCTACTGTCTGTACATACGAATGGCTATGTGACAGGTGACAGTTCCCTGCTCCTATCTCCTGTCTGTACATATGAATGGCCATGTGACAAGTAAACGAGAAAAGTTAGCAGCCAAACTGCTTGAAGATAACTTTCTCCACATTTTGTCTCATATTATCCTCACTACTTAAGTCTCGCCCTTTCCAGTAATTCACACTCTGTCATTCCTTGGACACTTCCTTTGTTTTTCACAGCCATAAGCAATTTACTCCTGTACCCAGAAAACAAACCATTGCCATTGTTGTTCATTGTTTCCTAAGCACTGAAGGAATCATTCCATTTTCTTCTTAGTCCTGCTGCTAAGTCTGAAAAGAGTACACATTTGGTCCTCCATTTATTTCTACCACCCACAGAACTTGGGTTGCTAGAGAAAGTCAGTATAAATTCAATCAGTACTGGCCAGTCTGAAGCCCATGATGCTCATGGACACTTGGTACTCCATCAAGCTCTTCTAAAGCCAAGACTGTGGGGTGAGGAGACAGGGATCTCAGGTGCACAGAAGGCAGGCTATGGAAGAGCCACGTGACTAGGAAGAAGCAGTTAGAATTAAAACCTCATTTTTCCTCTGAGTTCTTCTCCTTACCCTATGTCTCCCGTGACAGAGAGAAACAGCACTGCTTACCTCAGCTTGGAGACTTCACTGAACATCTCCCGGAGCTAAAAGCCTTCACAGCACCATAAAAATTCTCTCAGAAGGCATGACTGGTAAACACTGAGAGACAGTGAATGGCTTCTACATAACGTTCTCATTACATCAGTCTTTTAACCCTGCTGTTGGCCATGATTTTCAGTGTAAAAGTGAAATAAGGCTGGGATTAAATAATTCACCCAAGTGCCTAGAGCTACAGGGGAGACACAAACCCATGCCCGCATTATTCTAACATTTTCTCTTGTTTTTTTATTCTCTACTGTCTCCTTAAATTTCCAAAAGTTGAATAATGACTAACATTCCTTAAAAATTATAAGATTCTTCTAGAGGACATAAAAGCTTCAGACACGTGAGACATTAAACTAAAGTTTACCTGGAATTGCAGTCATTCTACAGCATGCATTAGTGGCAGACACATGTAACTATTGTTTCCTTTATTTACAGATCGTTCTTCCAAGAAGACTGGGGCATCCAACTGTATTCTGTTAAGTACATCTAAATATCAAATCTATTGGAAGTTAAGAATCCTATAGATCTAAGGACACTTAGCCAATCCAAACTCCATCATGGGGGCCATGACCTGGCTATTGCCAGGCGTCTTTCTAGCTTCACTTGCCCTCACTTCTGAAGGTGGGGTCCTCAAGAAAGTCATCCGGCACAAGCGACAGAGTGGAGTGAACATGACCCTGCCAGAGGAGAACCAGCCCGTGGTGTTCAACCACGTCTACAACATCAAGTTGCCCGTGGGCTCTCAGTGTTCAGTGGATCTGGAGTCACCGAATGGGGAGAAAGACCTGACCCCCATGCCAGAGTCCAGTGGAAGCTTCCAGGAACACACAGTGGATGGAGAAAATCAGATTGTGTTCACACACCGCATCAACATCCCCCGCCAGGCCTGTGGCTGTGCCGCAGCTCCTGATGTGAAGGAACTCCTGAGCAGGCTGGAGGAGCTAGAGATGCTGGTATCGTCTCTAAGGGAGCAGTGCACCATGGGTACTGGCTGTTGTCTCCAACCTGCAGAAGGTAAAAGCTGGGGTTGATTGCCCCGTTTCTGTGCGAATGGGGGGGAAGATGAGCATAAAAGGATCTGAGCGGTTTCTAATGCTGGTTTCCTGAGAAACTAGACAGTCAAGGTGTTCATTAAAAACATAGAGGTCACGTCAATGTGGAGAATGCAGCCATCCCTCTTCTGCTCTTCAAAGGGTCATGGTAATAATAGTTCTGCATCAGTTTTCCAGTCTTTGAAAAAATCTGCTTCTTAAAACCCTATTTCACTTTAATTGTATCTTTTAGGTTTAATGGTCTGGAGAGTTGGCTCAGCAGTTAGGAGTATTTTCTCTCCAAAGGAACTAGGTTCTATTTCTATCACCTACACGGACACTCACAACATCTGTAACTCTATTCCCGGGGCATCACCATCTTTATCCAACCTCAGCATACACCAGGCACTCACGTTGTACATGCGCATGCATGCAGAAAAAGCTCTGTCTACATACAAAACGATAAAATAAATAAATCTAGATGTTCAAATATTTATTTATTTTACTATTTTGTGTGTATGTCCCCAGGTGAGTGTGTGCACATATGTGTGCGTTTACAGGTATGCACTCTCATATGTGTGCATTCAGGCCAGAAGAGGGCATGGGAAACCTTTTTTTATCACTCCCTGACTATTCCTTTGAGTCAGCATCTTTTCTTGAACCTTGGGCTCTCATTTTCTCAGCTAAGCTACAAACCAGCAAGCCCCAGCGCTCCCCCATCTCTACGGAGAGATGAGATTATGGGCATATATAAGACACACAGCTCTTAGGCACTGGGATCTGAACACTGCTCCTTGTGATTACATGGTAAGCACTCTTAAATGTTGGGCCATTTTCTCTTCAGTGCCCAGTTTAATTACATCTCAGTCAAACATGTTTGACCCTGAAATCTAATTCTTAGTTACCCAAAAATGTCTGAGAAAACACAACATTCCTTCTCCCAAGGGCACTCTCTCCAGGAGACTGCAGTAGCCTTGACAATTCATTCTAGCCAAGCAAAGGATACCAAGGGGGTGAGGTTCTCAGGGTCCCGCTGAGTTAGGTCTTAAAGAATCTTCCACCGCCCTGTGTTCTTACAAATGCACGTTTCTACCTGGGTGGGGCTGAGTCTGCCCTCATCAGAAGACAGTGTTGGAAGGTGATAGGAAACAATCTGACGAGGTGAGGGTGGTTTGGTCAACGCTCGTTTATGCAGCCACCTCTAGCACTAAACACGGAGAGTATCTTGTATGATCTTCCAAACAACCCTTCAAGATAAGAGTTATCATCCCTCTGTAAATAAAAGAACTGAAATTTTAAAAGTTAACCGGCTCTCACAGGATAACTCGATGACAAAGGACAGAGACTTTGGATGTTCCTGGTTACCTTCACTTCCCTTGAGGGATATCCTGGGCCATTGTGCGTCCATTCCAGGCATTCTGATGCTCTGAAGTTATGTTATCTCCATTCCCCAAGGTCCTTAGATCTACAGAAGCTTTAACTTCAAATTAGATATGAGCATCTGTTTCTACCACTTAGAAATACTATCAGAAAGGACCTTGATAATGATTTGAAGAAGACCTGACCACCATAGGCAAGGAGTGTTGTGGGACTCTAGGCTCCTAAGGCAATTTCTAAAAATTTATCTTTAATAATAAACCAATTAATTTTCCAGCCATCAACTCCCCTGGGGGGAAATATAAGCAAGAAGATACAGTAGGTTTAATGAGAGTGTGGTCGAATGTGAATTCCATATTTTTCTCTCCATGCCAGTTGATGCCTAAGGATGCAGTGAATTTGGGTCAGGGTTTTCCATGTGAGTACAAGAAACTGCTCTGATGATACTCAGCTCAATGCCTGTTATCTTCACCGCAGGCCGTCTGGACACCAGGCCCTTTTGCAGTGGCCGAGGCAACTTCAGTGCTGAAGGATGTGGCTGCGTTTGTGAACCAGGCTGGAAAGGCCCCAACTGCTCTGAGCCCGAATGTCCTGGAAACTGTACCCTCCGAGGCCAGTGCCTCGATGGACAGTGTGTCTGTGACGAGGGCTTCACTGGTGAAGACTGCAGCCAGCTGGCCTGCCCCAATGACTGCAATGACCAGGGCAGGTGTGTGAATGGAGTCTGTGTGTGCTTTGAAGGCTATGCCGGGGTGGACTGTGGCCTGGAAGTCTGCCCAGTGCCCTGCAGTGAGGAGCACGGGATGTGTGTGGATGGTAGGTGTGTGTGCAAAGATGGCTTTGCTGGTGATGACTGCAACGAGCCCCTGTGCCTCAACAACTGCTACAACCGTGGACGGTGCGTGGAGAACGAGTGCGTGTGTGACGAGGGCTTCACGGGTGAAGACTGCAGTGAGCTCATCTGCCCCAATGACTGCTTCGACCGCGGCCGCTGTGTCAATGGCACCTGCTACTGTGAGGAAGGCTTCACGGGCGAAGACTGTGGTGAGCTCACCTGCCCCAACAACTGCCAGGGCCGTGGCCAGTGCGAGGAGGGACAGTGTGTTTGCGACGAGGGCTTTGCTGGTGCGGACTGCAGTGAGAAGCGGTGTCCCGCCGATTGTCACCACCGTGGCCGCTGCTTCAATGGGCGGTGCGAATGTGATGATGGGTTCACGGGGGCTGACTGCGGGGATCTGCAGTGTCCCAATGGCTGCAGTGGGCATGGCCGCTGTGTCAATGGGCAGTGTGTGTGTGACGAGGGATACACTGGCGAAGACTGCAGCCAGCAGCGGTGCCCCAATGACTGCCACAACCGGGGACGCTGTGTACAGGGCAAGTGCATCTGTGAACAAGGCTTCAAGGGTTTTGACTGCAGTGAGATGAGTTGCCCCAACGACTGCCATGGCCATGGCCGCTGTGTGAATGGCATGTGCGTCTGTGACGGTGACTACACTGGGGAAGATTGCAGAGACCGGCGCTGTCCCCGGGACTGCAGCCAGCGGGGCCGCTGTGTGAATGGACAATGCATATGTGAGGATGGCTTCACTGGCCCTGACTGTGCTGAGCTCTCCTGCCCCAACGACTGCCATGGCCATGGCCGCTGCGTGAATGGCCAGTGCATCTGCCATGAGGGCTTCACTGGCAAAGACTGCAAAGAGCGGAGGTGCCCCAGCGACTGCCACGGCCAAGGCCGCTGTGAGGACGGCCAGTGCTTCTGCCATGAAGGCTTCACAGGACTGGACTGTGGGCAGCGCTCCTGCCCAGGTGACTGTAACAACCAGGGACAATGTGTTTCAGGCCGCTGTATCTGCAATGAAGGGTACACAGGGGAAGACTGCTCTGAAGGTGAGTTTCAGCGTGCTGGCATCAAGTGGTCCTGATTCTGTATACACCTGATGCCTGTCAGACAATATTTGGTTTTATCAGCACACCAATTCTTTTTATGCATCCTATTAGTGTATTTCTGATAAACATATACTCTTTCTCTGACTCTTTGAGGAGGTTGTGGTCCAACTCTTAGCACAGGGAAATCTGGGCTCAAAGGCTCAGAGAAGTGGTATTGTTCTCCAAAGGACTCTGAGCTGGTACTTAAACTTGTCTACCTCATCTGTATTGATTCTCCCATCCAACGCCCATTGCTAAGTGTTGGCTTCCTTTCCTTCTAGAACTGCCTTGAGGGGAAGTGATAATCAGCTGAACTGAATAGACGTTGCTGTTAAATAAGGGGAACCTGTTAATGCAGCCTGCTAAAGAATAGTTACTGGTTACTTGGGAATTAGATCTGTCCCTTAAGTTTTCTTGTGTTACTAGCTTTATCCAATGTCTGTGAGCATCTCCCAAAAGAAGATTGTTTCTAGAAATTAGCACAAGCAGAGAGCTAACATGTACAGTGTGTGTTGATGAAACATGGGGTAAATGAAACCCCAGCAAGAACAAAAACACCCATGGTCCATGACAATCTCTGTTTTTCTCTCATCCTCGTATCATGACAGAGAACATCTGCCAAATGTAGATAGGAACGAATAAATAGTTTCAACATCTAGTATGGCTGAACTGTGCAAACTTAGCAAAGAGATGTGAGCTCCAAATCTGATGTAGGCAACTGCAGGAAAACCTTTGGGCCTCACTGCTGACATCTAAGGAACGAAAGAGTCTGGTTAGACAAGCCCTCCAAGACTACTCACAGGAAGCAGGCTGAGATGCTGTCCCATGGTCTAAGTCTGAGCGTGGCCTCAGAAAGTGGAGAAGTGGGGGAAACTACACCACATGCCGTGCTAAAAGCAACACTCTTGGTCGTCATGAAGACAGTGGACCAATGGGTTACAAAGCTACTTCTGATGGCAAACCCACCAGATCTGCAAGCCCAGCCACTACAGAGGCTGAGAGAAAAAGATCTCAAGTTCAGGAAAGAGAGGAGGGGAATTTGCTTATAAAGAAAACAACAGAGCTCTTTTAAATATTATTGTAAATTTATTTATTTTATTTTAGGTGTATTAGTGTTTATCTTACATTTATGCATATGCACCACATGTGGGCCTGATCCTGCAGATGTTAAAATAGGACATCTGATCTCCTGGAGCTGGAGGTTAGGGGCTGTTGTGAGTCACCGTTGGTGATCCTCTGCAAGAGCAGAAGACCTAAAGTCTCTATCCCATTGGTTGATAGAACTCTCACCCTAGAATACACAGGACTCTAGGTTTGAACACCACTAAAAAGATGAACCCAAACGAGAATTCTGGCTGAGTCTAGAAGGTCTGAAGAACATGTTCCAGGAAGAGACAACTTCACGTCTGTATCTCAAATAGTAAAAGAGACGTGTTGAGGGAATTAAACCCATAGGACTCTATAGGTGTACACTTGACTCCCAATGTCTTTTCTTATCCCTTCCAGTATCCCCTCCCAAAGACCTCATTGTGACAGAAGTAACAGAAGAGACTGTAAACCTGGCATGGGACAATGAGATGCGGGTCACCGAGTACCTGATTATGTATACACCCACCCATGCTGATGGTCTGGAGATGCAATTCCGTGTGCCTGGGGACCAGACTTCCACCACCATCAGGGAGCTTGAGCCAGGAGTGGAATATTTCATCCGTGTGTTCGCCATCTTGGAGAACAAGAGGAGCATCCCTGTCAGTGCCAGGGTTGCCACCTGTGAGTAGGCAAAGGACTCTATACCTGGCCTTGGCCTAGCTGTGAAGCACTTTGCACGCTGTTTTTAGTGCTCAGTATATGCTAACAAATCTCACCCAATGAGGCAGAAGCATTCGCCTGAGGAACGCTGAGGAAACTGAGGCTATGTAATTTATCATCTTGTCTCAGGCCCACAGCTAATGAAGATGGAGCTGAGCTTTGACCTGGGCAGTCTTGGAAAAGAGTAAATCTTAGTCATCTCGCCACTGTTGTATGGAGTTCTGTTCTATCAAATTCTCTGTCTGTTTCCTGCTGCTCCTGGAAGAGTCTAGCATCAGTGTAATGACTTTCATGCCTGAATAGCAGTCTATGGCTAAAAACCAGCCCTTACTTGCTTAGTAATGACAACATTGGTCTCTCCTTCTGACTATTACACTGCATGCCGGGAGTCAGGCCAGCAGACTTCACAGAACACATCATTCAGTACTTGGTGCATTCCCCAGGGCACACACAGTTCGTTACCACCTTCTCTCAGAAATAGAAATTATCTCAGTGCTTTGTGTAAACCCTGTCCTGGGCCACGATGTTATCAGTTCTCAAGTTAGATGCTGGTCTATGTCTGTCTGATTCCAAACAACATTGCAAATAGACAGTCACAATATTAGTATAATAGGGACTTTCACATTTTCTTACAGTATATAATATGCCAGAAGAGCCTTTAAGTAGACCACAGATCTGGTTATCAACCTCAAAGTAACAGCTGTTCATCACAGGTTTAATGGATCCCTAACTGCATGGCCTTTACCAAGCACGTTGTCCTTTCTTAAGTCCTATTTGTGCTCTTCCTTTCAGACTTGCCTGCACCCGAAGGACTAAGATTCAAGTCTATCAAGGAGACATCTGTGGAAGTGGAGTGGGATCCTCTAGACATTGCTTTCGAAACATGGGAGATCATCTTCCGGAATATGGTGAGGGGCTCCATGGTGGAGGAACGTCTGACATTCATGTCACGCAGCTTCCTCAGCTGAATATGGGAGGCTGGGCACTATCATTTTGTGTGTTCACATACATATCTTAAAAGGATTCCAATGTTGTTAATAAATAAAAAAAACACTTAGGGATGAGAATCCAAGCAATTGTAAATTAAGTCATCTATAGGTGCCATCTTACAAATCTCTGTTTGGAAGCCACAGAACCAGAGACAGTCTGTCCCATACAGTATCTCCTGGCATTTTGCAAATTTGAGAAAAATCTCCCCAAACCCCAAAGAACAGTTAAAGCAAGTTGCTGGTCATAACTTGGGCCCTGTTCACAATTATCTGTGAGAACATGGACAATCTACTAACTTGTCTGACGATGACAAGTCAAGGAAGGGTGGGTGGTGACTCCCACTCCTCCATGCCATCTGATAGGGTGAGCCCAGGTGTGTGCAGGAGGAAGGGATGGACTCAAGGAAGGGTGGGTGGTGACTCCCACTCCTCCGTGCCATCTGACAGGGTGAGCCCAGGTGTGTGCAGGAGGAAGGGATGGACTCAAGGAAGGGTGGGTGGTGACTCCTACTCCGTGCCATTAGACAGGGTGAGGAAGGGATGAAATCAAGAAGCATCTTTCTTATTTCTGTATTCTCAGCATCTAACTTCTCAGTCTGCTGGGAGGCAGAGGAGACACCCAGTGAATGAGTGAAACAAAAAGAAGAACTGAATAAAGCATGGGAATGAAGGGTTGTCACAGCTTCTGAATGTTAGATCTGTGCTTCCCTCTGACAGAATAAAGAAGATGAGGGGGAAATTACCAAAAGCTTGAGGCGACCAGAGACCTCTTACCGACAAACTGGCCTTGCTCCTGGGCAAGAATACGAAATATCTCTGCACATTGTGAAAAACAACACCCGAGGCCCTGGCTTGAAGAAAGTGACCACAACCCGTGAGTATCACCTAAGACCTGAGATAGGGCTGTGTCTCATTACGCCTTCTGGCTTACAACATCTGACGCAGCACCTGCATCAGTGAGAATTTGCTTACTACTACAAAGTCCATATGGAGAGCCTCAAATGATAATTCTTCAGGTTTGTGATTTGGCATTGGGCTCAGCTGTGTAGGGTTTGTCCTTGACAGGAATCACATATGCATCTTTGTGGACTGGGACTGCTGTGTTTAGGATAGCCACCTGTGATCCTAGAACTCTGGAGGCTCAGGCAGGAGTACTCAAGGACACCCTGAGCTCCATGCTGAGGTCCAGGATTGTGTAAGCTACAGAGTGAGACACGGTCTCAAAAAACAAAAACAGGCCGGGCGGTGGTGGCGCACGCCTTTAATCCCAGCACTCAGGAGGCAGAGGCAGGCGGATCTCTGTGAGTTCGAGACCAGCCTGGTCTACAAGAGCTAGTTCCAGGATAGGCTCCAAAACCACAGAGAAACCCTGTCTCGAAAAAACCAAAAAAAAAAAAAAAAAAAAGAAACAGAAACAAAACATAGCAAGATGGTGATTTCCTGCTCTGTGAAGTGTTGTCGTGTTGGCGTGGCTGTGGAATAGACTCCAAACTGACATTTCTATCAATCCTGTCAGAGCAAATTCTCAGGTCAGCCCAAGTGTGAGAGACATAGAAACACAAGCATCTCCTTTCTGAAGCACCCCAAAGTCACATTCTCAGAGACCGTAGGTGCAGAAGGAGAACTCACTGAGATTATCACACATAGAAACACAAGCATCTCCTTTCTGAAGCACCCCAAAGTCACATTCTCAGAGACCGTAGGTGCAGAAGGAGAACTCACTGAAATTATCACAAGATGTCTACCACATTATCTCATTTAACGCTAATATCAAGTCTCCTGTGACAAAAGCGAGGCCTGTGTTGTATTATGTATGAAGAGCAGTGACCAAGGCTTGGAGGAGTGAGTCGCTTTAACACCATGCAGTTCAGACAGTCCTGGTCATGCCTCCAAGCATGGCTGCCTTTAGAACCAGCCTTGATTATACGCTGACTTTTGCAGAATGTTGATTTCATGTCTCAGTAGAAACCTAAATAAAATTTTACTTGAAGGTCTGGAGAGATATTCCAGTCAGATATTCCAGCAGTGACATAAGAACCAGGCATGTAGCTAAATAACATAATCCAGAGCTGAGGGGTGGAGAAAGGAGGAACCCTGCGACTGGCTGGCCAGGCCAAGGCTAGCCAGAGCCCTGTCTCAAAAAGCCACACACACACACACACACACACACACACACACACACACATATATCCAAACATACATAATAATATATACTCACACTTTCACAAAGTCTCTCTCTCTCTCTCTCTCACACACACACACACACACACACACACACACACACACACATACATACTTTTACAAAGCCACATACACTCATACACAGACTCACAAACACACATTTTTCAAACACATACACACACATGCACACATATACACAGCTTTTACTTGGTACTAATATCCTTAGAAAATCTTGGGGTGAAATAGGATTTAACACAATTAGAGACTTTTATGGGATATAACTGAATTTGGAATTGTTCTAACAGGAAATTTTTTTAATAAAAGATAAAGGAAAAATAGAGAAAACAGTCTACATTGTTGTTTAGTAAGAAAATGTCTGATTTTCTTCAAGAGAACAGACGTGCCAACTCTTTGAGAAATTGACTCTTGTTGGCAGGGGCTTGCTGGGAAAGCAATGGCAAGAAGGAACACCTTGCGCTTGTGTGCTTGCACGTTTTGCATAGCTCAGGGCCAATTCAGGAAACCATGCGCTTTGTGAGCTAGTGTTTTCCATCATCCTGACAAGAGCTCTCTGTGGTAGGTACAAGGCAGGTACTGACAGGAAAGGAAACCGTCAGATCAGCAACAAGGCAGTGGGAAGATCAAGAAAATGCTTATCTATTCTAGGGAAAGCATACTGGAGAGACAAATGGCTTTTCTTTTACCTACCTTCTGTTCTTTAATCCAAATTTGAGGCTTGCTTGCTTTATATTCTGCTTATTAAGGACAAATGGCCAGCCTTTGAAGTTCTAGAACATGGAAATACCAACACTGAGGGACACACACTTTCTTGTTCCTTTTGCACAAGTTTCTAAGATTTTCTCTAGAAATTAAAGAAACTTAACCTTGGTGGCAAAACATGTTTGATTCTTTCTCTCTGACTGATTGTAATCTTTCTTGACACGTAAATGCTGATAAGACCCATTGTCCTGGGAAAGTGAGAGGGTGGGTGGTCCTGAGTTTAAATTCCTTCTCACCATTCTCAATCACTTGAAAATATCCCAGCTCTTTAAGTCTTGGGTACAACATCTGGAAAAATGGGTTCATAGCGTCATTCTCATGAAGTTGTCACAAGAATGAGGCACTGATGGCACAGATCCATGAGTCAGATGTGCAGAGTGATGTCAGTCTTCGTTTTCAGTATCCTTAGCCACAGGCTAACCTCCTTAGCAGTTTATGTGGCTTTGCGACTGACAACTGAAAGGCAAGGCAGTGTCACCAACCATGATAACATCATTTTCATGATTTGTGGACTCATTAACCACTAGCTGATACATAACCACTTAGACTTCAAAACTGGACCATGAAGCATCCTCATAATCTATCAGATTATGATACTGGTACTCTTTCCATACTCTGCATGAGTACCAACTGCCTCTGTTTAAAAGTGCTCATCAGATGGATGATGAGAACATAGACTAAACTACTTTAAAAAAAAATGAAGACCCACATTAAATGCCCAGGATGGCCTAAGGATCACAAAAGCCAAACATCGTTTTCTGAATGAATGTATGACCCAATCTAAATGTATCCAAACTGTAAAAACGTCTGTAACGAGCTAGTGAGATAAGTGTGCTATCGCAAAGCTTTCTCAGGGAAGTAGCAGCTACAAGTAGGGAGAATATGTGCATCTGGTTACAACAGGGATAATGAGGCTCCTGGCTAGGCTGTAATTTACAAGACACATTGGAGAGGATGGCCAGGAAGGGGTTAGAGGAGGAGGGCAGTCTCGGGAGATGAAGCAAAGGACCAGCATTGGGGGTACACAGGTGAGGAAGCATGGCATCAAGGTGGATGGGGCAGGAAATGAGTTTAACAGGACCACACAGGACACCCAGGATGAGGAGACAAAAATGGGCAAGACTTGAAATAACAATGACTCTTGCCCTAGTTCTTTGTCAAAAACAACTTTAAGGCTCGCAAAGTGGCCCAATTAGGGCCTGAGAACTTGAATTCAACGTGCATGTCCCACATGTTGGAAGGAAAGAACCACGCCCCAGCAGCTGAACTCTACAAGTGTGCCATGCTTGTGCATGCCACAGAGAGAGAGAGAGAGAGAGAGAGAGAGAGAGAGAGAGAGAGAGGAATCAATGCAACAAAATGTTTCAAACCCACCAGGACAATCCATTGTCTCATGCCTCTGCTCCATGATCCTAACAGAAAAGTTGTCTGTCATCCTGGAAAGTCTTGTCTAATAACTCAGACATGGCTGAGGAGAGAGCTCAGTTGGTAAAGTCTGTGCCTTGCAAACAGGAGGACTTGGCTTCTCATTAAAGAGCTGGATTTGATGGTGTCCTCTTGCAATACCAGTTCTGAAGTGCAAGCACCTAGAGATAGGTGGATCCCTGGAGCTCGCTAGCTTATGTGGTGAGCTTCAGGCCCATGAAAGACTAGGCCTCAAGAAAATAGGTGGGTTTCCCTGAGGAATGACACTTGAGAGTGTCCTCTGGCTTCTGTATATATACATACACACTCACACATACACACACTAACACACACTCACATTCACACACTCATTCACACACATTCCCTCAGTTCAGCAGAACAGTAGCTGCTAACAGTAGTGGAGATGGTGGCAGCAGACAAAGGAAGGACTTCCGTCATGGAACTGCTGTGTGCCAGGCTCCATTCTAGATGCTTTACAGGCTTTGTCTCTTTTACTATTTGTGAAACAAACACACAAGCCCTCAAAGTAGATATCACAGTCCCTCCATGTGACTTGTCAGACAGAAACCAAGACTCACAAGGGCAAAAGAAAGTAAGGACTCGTTATGAACCAAATATCTTCCATGGTCTGTGGCAAAGCACTCTGAAGCTACTCTTCCCCTTGTTGCTCACAGGCCTGGATGCCCCCAGTCAGATCGAGGTGAGAGACGTCACAGACACCACAGCCCTGGTCACCTGGTTCAAGCCTCTGGCTGAGATTGATGGCATCGAGCTCTCCTATGGCATCAAGGACGTGCCTGGAGACCGCACCACCATCGACCTCACACATGAAGAAAACCAGTATTCTATTGGGAACCTGCGGCCTGACACCGAGTATGAGGTGTCCCTTGTCTCCCGCAGGGTGGACATGGCAAGCAACCCTGCCAAGGAGACCTTCACCACAGGTGAGAACTGCCCCACTGACAGGTGCAGAAAAAACAGGACACCAGCACAGAGAGTCCTGCTCCATTCTACCTGTGAGTCCTCTTAGGCTCATGTGACCTTGAAGACAGTCAGGATGGCCTTTCCACCTCTGTGTGCATATGTACATACATGTGTACATGTATGAGGGGGAGAGAGAAGGAGAGTAAGGGGGAGGGCTGGTCTGATACTCCCGACAAATTCCTAGTTAAAATGTAGTGGCTCGGTGGTAAAGCATTTGCCTGGTATCTTAGCAAATGGCATTACTTCAAAGGTGTGCATCCCATACATGCCTTACTGGAGTTTAGGAAGAACCAGTGGTCATCTCTAAGTTATTAAGAATCCACTAAGTCAACTAAACAGTTTTCCCACTCACTCACAGTTTTATTTTGGGAGCTTTCTGTTCTTCCAACACAAAAAATGGAAAAACAAATGCAGCTGATAAATCATTGAGAAAGGAGCCATGCCTGTGCTCTTGGTTTAATTCCTGTATCAGCTGCCAAGACAGGGACTGTGGGGAACTCTGACGTTTCCATCCATGGGCAGGTGCCTTCTGAACCTCTGATAGAAATGTCAAATCTACTATCCTGGTACCTGGTGTAATACGAAGCCTCCTTTCTCTTCCTAAACAGGCCTGGATGCACCCAAGAACCTTCGCCGTGTCTCCCAGACAGACAACAGCATCACCTTGGAGTGGAGGAACGTCAAGGCTGACATCAATAGTTACAGAATTAAATACGCACCTATCTCAGGAGGTGACCATGCTGAGGTTGATGTTCCCAAGAGCCAGCAGGCCACAACCAAAACCACACTCACAGGTGAGCTCTGACAAAACAGGAGCCAGCGGCCAGGTGTCCCTCTTTTTCAACCTGCCAAAGAGAAGGGAAAAAAAAAAAAAAAACAGCTTCCATCCATTCCTCTTGCTGTCAATGTTCCAAATTAGTTTGTAACAGATGATGGTCGTACAGAAATCACAGTGACCAGATTCCAGCCTGGGTCACTCTTAGAGTTCCCTGAAACCCTGCCCGCTTCTAGAATGATCCCTACCTACACATTCTCTTTTAGGTCTGAGGCCAGGAACTGAATATGGCATTGGCGTTTCTGCTGTGAAGGGAGACAAGGAGAGTGACCCAGCAACCATCAATGCAGCCACAGGTGAGGTCCATGGAAGCCCCACCATTGCTGAGGTAGACAGAGCAGGCAAGCCAGGGCTGCTGAGAGAAGTGTGTTATAAAACATAGAAGTCGGAGGAGAAAGGGGTCTCTAGGAACACGGAGCCCAAGGGAACATCCTAACACAACTCTCTAGAGAGGGAAAAGAATAAAGGAATTTGAAAGAAAAATTGGAATCAGACCTTATAAAAGGCACAAATTTTTATTTTGTCAACCTACCCTTTCAAAATAGCTAGTTTAATTGGAACAAATATGAAGTTTACCTTTAGCAACCGAGAAAATACCTCTAGCAGGCAAATATTCAAATATCCATATAGACAGTGCAGCCCCCGGATCCCACTGTATCCTATAGCGCAGCCTTGGATAAAAACCAGCAAGGGCTAAAGGATTTGGAGCCACTGCTTCTTTCCTAAAGTGTACTACCCCTCTGCCTCCCAGCAGCTTCCAGCTGACCTGTCCTGGCACTGTGAAGAGAGGAGAGGCCGGGATGTGTGAGATGTAGATCATACCTGGTTGCGTTTCCTTGGGATACAAAATCTAGCTGTACATATACATACATCATCTTTATTTATGTATACTTATAACATATCCATATGTATGCACTGTGATTTTGAGACAATTGTAGATATATATGCAGTTAATGAGATATCATTCAGAGATACGTCTGTACCCTTCACTCAGTTTCCCTCAAAGCAGCAGATTGCATAAAGAATAATTCAATTACTGGATACAAGCTCTTGGCTTTAAATTTCAGCAGTGTTGCGCACACTGTGTATCTGCATATATGTGTGTATGTGCATGCATATGCGTGTGCATATATGTGGACATGTGTGTTAGTTCTGGACATCTCATCACATGTAGGTTTGCAAAGGTATGGACAACAGAGACTCAGAATCATTGCACTGCATCCTGAGTACCCATGTTGGAATATCTCACAATGACCACTTACCTGTTGCCCTTTCTGCATAACCCTGAGAATTCAAATAGCACTCTCCATCACAGCTGTAATTTCACCATTTCCAGACTTAAATAAGTGGAATGGGGCCAGAGAGATGATTCTGTCTTTAAAGGCTAGGCTAACAACCAAAAATATGAGTGGGATGTATCCATCCACCTGGGCTACAGCAACGAAATGCCTTAGACCAGGTAGCTTTATTAAGAGAGATCTCTTTCTCACAGTTTTGGTGCTGACAAGTAAGGTTAAAAGGGCTAGAAAATCAGTTCCTATTGAGGGCTCTCTGTCTTGTCCATTGAGATGTCTGTCTTGACTCTCTCTCTATTCAGGTGACAGAAGGGGCTGAGATCATTCTGGGTCTCTGTGGTTAGGCCACTGAACCTAACCATGGTGACTTATGATGACCCTCACATCTGAATAGCATTCTTTTGGGCACTAGGTTTCAATATATTGGTTTTAAGTGTCATTTTTTTTTATCCTTTAGCATTCTTGAGACCAACTGTTTGTCTCTTGGAAGTGCTTTCTTAAGTAGCATTTCATAATTTAGATAAACCACTCCACTTTCATTTTCCCCCAAATCCCGAAAGGTAGTGTGCAATGAATGGCACCTGTCTATCAAAGGTCAGTCAGGCAACAGTCCTGCACCTACACAACCTTTTTTGATTTGCAATCTAAAGCAGATCCCTCTTGATTCTCTCTCCAGAAATTGATGCACCCGAGGACTTGCAGGTGTCTGAAACCTCACAGGACAGTCTGACTCTATTCTGGAAGACACCACTGGCTAAGTTTGACAGATACCGCCTCAACTACAGCCTCCCCACAGGCCAGTCAAAAGAGGTCCAATTGCCAAAGGATGCCACCTCCCATGTCCTGAGAGATCTGGAGCCAGGGCAAGAATACTCTGTCCTTCTCACTGCCGAGAAGGGCAGACACAAGAGCAAGCCTGCATATGTGAAGGCATCCACTGGTAGGTCACCCTGAGCTTCCCCAAGTCATCTGCTGACTTTGGGTGGCAGAGCTTTGCATCTGTCAGAAGGTCTGAATGTGCTGCCCGAGGGCAAAACATGCTTCTTTCTACCCTCATGAAGTACTCTCTGCCACACTGAAAGGGCAGCTTCCTTGACTTTTCCTCCTGCTGTCAGTCAGCTGAACCAAGCTCCCTCACCACGAAATGTTGATTGTTCAGTATTTCTAGCTGTAAAACACAGAGAGCAGCGTTGCCTTCTTCATGGTGCTTTTTTCTCTCTTTTCAGAATGGTGTGTTCTATGGAACTCTTTACATCCCTTAGTTCTCTTCCTTAATCTAACAACAACTTTATTTTTTTTTTCATTACCTGAAAGATGCCTGGGTTGTTGGGATTCGTTATTTGGACTTCCTCATTGGAGTGTTTTTATTACAGGTCTCTTGCTTTCCTCAAGGTGGCCCCGGAGAGTCACACTTGTCCCCAGGCTGCCCCAGAACCCTTCACACCTTCCCTTTGTTTCCAGTCACAAAGAGGTTCCTGGCTCTCTGGGGCTGATCCAGGTCCCTTCCAACTGTGTTAGCCTCCCCACCAATCTTCCTTCCTGTCACGTTTCTTCAGGAACTGAGCTGAAGAGAGAATCTGGCAGGAAATAATGTTTGTTATATGAAAAATGACACATTCAATTTGAGCCATTAAGTTCTCAATATTCTTTAAGATTTGACAAGTGGTAGTCTTCGCTTCCATTTTCATTAACAAGCATTTATTAAGCAATAACTGCACACAGTCCACCCTTAGATGTTAGAGAAAGAGTGTGCCACATGGTCATCTGTTTCCTTACCTTTCATTTGTCTTCCCTTGCAAGCATCCCTGACAGCATGAGCCTCTCACAGTAGAAGAAGGTAGGGAAGTAGAATTAAAAACAGATTAATCTCAAAGTCCAACTTCAGTAATTCCGCTTCACATGTACTTAGTATAATGTTCCAGGTGACCTAAAAATGAATCAGAAATATAAGAAGGAAGAAAATGTTCTTCTCCTTTCTCCTTTGTTCTTCTCCTTCCTCCCTTCTCCTCTTCTCTACTCTCTCCTCTTTCCCAGAATCATTATCAACCCCAGAAGGGAACTCCAATCCTGCAACTTTGGAGTCAAAGGTAGATGTTGCAAGATAGTTCTTATCTGTGGATGCTGTGAGAGAGCAGAGGATCAGTGGCCCTCATGTGCTTTCTCCAAAGAATCCCGATGTTCCAGCCATAGCAGTGGCCCACTTGCAGGCCTCTTCCATGATGTAGCATCATATTGAAAATATAGTTAATCTTTCTACACATAGTACCACCTGCATGGCTAGCTTGTTCCAAAAGAAATGAAAATACAAAGAACTTTTCCATGGGATGGGTGGGCCTTCAAAATTTGATCTCTCAGACCTAGCTTCCAGGACGCATGTCCTTGGCCATCATGTGACAATCACCTTGTATGTTCGCCCAACCTGCCTTCTCCTTCAAGCCTTTGAAGCTTTTGTTATACTGGTCTCCAGTTTTCCACACAGCATTCTCTCTATTCTCTCTAGTCTCATTGACTTCAAGTGTTATTGAAAACAAAGGCATCCTCTGAACGCTCTGTTAAAGTCCCCACCCTGGTCTATATCTGATGCCTCTCCAAGGTTCCTTGGACACTTACTGACTTGAGAGTGGCAGTATTCACATCATTGTCCCTGACCTCCTCCTCCCCATGACCAGAATGTAGGGACGGTCTCCTTGGTCTACTGTTGCCTGCAGTGACTGGAACACATCCAAAGCCAGGGTTAGTGCCACGAATATCTGCAGCGATCCAGCAGCCCTGGAACCAATATCACCACATTTGGTGTCTTTTTTGTCCTTCTCTGCTTTAGCAGCTGTTTAACACACTGCAGGACAAAGGAGCAGGGTAGTCGTTCTTTAAGCCTGTTTAATATGGACATTACAAAGAGAGAGGATGAAATGAGGGAGGAAGGGAAGCAGAGAGATCAAAGGAAGGTGAAATAAGGAGAAAGGCAATGCTCTCTTTCAGCATGGAGGAAAGTTAGTGTGGCTAGCCATATTCTCTTGTCTGTCTCCCTCCTCTCAACTCTCCCGTCTTCTCATCTCTTCTCTCAGTTTTTCCTCTTCTCATTCTTCTTTCACATTCTCATTAACTAAACTCTGCCTAAAGCCAAGGCTGTGAGTTCATTGTGAGCAGTAAGAGACACAGAGGAAGACAATAGGCAGAAGCCAAGGCCATGAAGCATATTTCCACAACAGTCTAGGACTCACCACTGAGACCTCAGTGACTCACAAGTAGTTTTGTTCTGAACCAAAGCTTCAGGCATGGTATTAGAGAACAGTTTGCTCTGATTTACCATTTTGATAGTCTATGGAGCAAACTGAAGTTCATTCAAATATTTATCCTGTCAATGCATGCAGAATCCAACAGAATAGGTGCATTCAGGAGAGAAAGGTTCTAGAAACAGTGCCATGAGATGAGAAAGATGCAACCCGTACTCAAAGGATGCAGTTCTACTGTTGCAGACGCAGGGAAGAGGGGAGAGGCAGGCGAAAGTTTCTGCACCCCAATAAACCTCTCTGCTGACATATAATTCAAATCAGACCAAATCAAACCAAACTGCAAAAAGCCCAGATTTAATTGATACCAACGCTCCTGGGTAGCCTGGTAGCACCCAGAGAGGTGCTGGGGAAGGAAGACAAGAAAACCATGAGTTTGTTCTGGGGGGGGGGGGGAGCAGTTTAAATACCCTGTGGGAGTGGTCTTGAGCATCTCTGGGGGGGGGGTCATCACTTGGCAGGCTTTCTCAGAGGTGGAGTCCGGACTGAGGCAACTCCCAGGGGAGGGGGCTTGGGATAGAACTTCCACCCAAACATTCCAGACTCTTTGGATATATGGATGCCAGGGGCCAGGGTGACGCTTCCACCCAAACATCAGGTTCCCATAACCCACCTGCCAAAGGAGACAAAGAGTTCAGAGTAATCTCAGAAGAGGTGCCCTTGGGCTGCAGTCCTCAACAAACAAAAGGAGGGGAGAGTGGGGAGGGGGCAGTCTCTTTTCCAGAAGCTTTGAACAAAATCTGTGAAAATCAGAGTCATGGGAAGCTTCATAGTCATGAAACAAGCATGGTCCTGCTGTGTGCCTAAGAGGAAAAACATGGGTCCCGAGGCTTGAGGCTACATGGTGACAGCTGTAGAATGTGGATGCCCTGGGCCTTTGGCTTCATTCTTGGTAGTTACTGAGAATTACCAGAAAACCCCAAGGCAGTTATACTTATATATTTATACTTTGTATTTCAAGTATGTTCTCTCTAGAAAATGAGTTTGGAACATTTGAAGCCTTGTGGTGGTCTTCAGACTTGCTTTTAACCTTCTCCTTGCTGTAGGAGAATCATTCCCTCACACATACAAAGAGCAAGTAGGCTGCCAGTCAGTGGTCACCATCTATACAATGGTGGGAATCTGAAGGGCTGAAGAGATGCCCAGGGATTCCTCGCTGCAGCTGCTCAGCCCACCCTGAGCACAGATGACACAGACTTGGAAATTCTGATTTTCTAGCCCTGCTGACATTGCTCAGAGGGTAGATTCCGAAGCACAGCTGTGAGAGGACAATATCCTTTTCATCATGAGTTGCCAGGAAGGCTGGGGTGCAAGTAGCCAACGGGAACCCTTGGCTGATGCTGCAGTGAGCCCACAAGTACATCATTCACACTGGAAATGAAGAGTCAGCACTTACATACAGCTTCCAGGGTTCCTACTTCAACTCTTGCTGCTGCATCTTTATTCAAGGCACCCACACACACACCCTTCTCCCACACTGGAATTCCTCTGTCATTCACATAAGTTTATTAGTGGAAGTTTAGGCTTTTACTTATCTGAGCATGTGTTTGATGGCCAGATGAGGGGGTGGCCTACCAACAGTATCCGTTGTAGATGTGATCACACACCACTCAGATATAACAAGTCATAGGTCTTTCTTGATACATCTATAAAAAATAAGGGGAAAGGTGGAGGAATAGGTAGCTACCAAAGCTCCATTTCTAACACAAAAATTCTAACACACTTCTATGCATCATGGAATATCATCCTTTGGATTTTTTTTTAACCAATGATTTCCAGATGTAAAAGCTGGTATCAGGCATCAGGCCAGATGTGGCCCACTAGTTTGTCTGAGTTTATGTACCCATGTTCTAGGCCCTGGTCATGCAGGGCTCATTGGAAATCAGCAGCTACGTAAACAGGAAAAATGGATTGTTTTTTTTTTCAAAGGAGCCAAGGCAGTTCCTACCCTCCCATTTTCAGGATCCATTTCCAGAGAAATCTTTTTCTGTAGGTCATGCAGGGTCCACACAAACTCATTGCAAGCAAATGACCCCTGTAAGGCAGATTTGGACAAGGGAGACTACCGCATTTCTGTGTTCTGGAGACAAAGATGGTGAATCAAATTATAACACAATCTGATAAATTGCTTCTCCCAGATCCCAGGCAATAAGGAGCAACCTTCCAAAAGTGTGTCATCTGCCTCAGTTCAGCGGTAGCAGTAGTATTAACTTATCCCTACTCTCCTTTGAAGTGGTTTATAAAAACTGATCTGAACTCCAAAAACAAAAAGTCAAAACTAAACTGCAGCAGACGTCTCAGGAGAGGTCAAGACAGCACAAGGAGAAGCCTAAGCAAACCTAAGCAGACACAAAATTCAAAGTGCTGGACAAAGACCCAAGAACAGCTGAGGCTAACTCATTGTAATAAAAACTACTTTGCCAAATGAAAACTGAGGTGTGGAGTCCAGCACACAACTGTCTAGCGTTTTCTCTAGGACATTTGTCAATAGGAAAGTGTATTTCCAAAAGAAAACTCAACTATGTACAAAGGTAAAGTCAGTACTGTACTAACCTATTTATTGCATTTGATGGAGACAGCACTACTGGGCATACGGTGACAGCAGCTTGGCACAGACTCTATTGGTTTTGGCCAGTGCATTGTTTGGGTTCTGGGAAGGCAAGCTTTGAAGACTAGTATAATTGACCTTGTCTCTGTCATTGTTCAGAACGAACACCTTCCCTGCAAAATCTTACCGTGACTGAGACCGGCTGGGATGCCCTCAGACTCAACTGGACAACAGATGACCTGGCCTATGAGTACTTTGTTATTCAGGTGCAGGAAGCCAACAAGGTGGAGGCTACTCACAACTTCACAGTGCTTGGCAACCTCCGGGCTGCAGACATCCCGGGTCTCAAGTCTGCCACTCCTTATAGAGTCTCCATCTATGGGGTAGCCCGGGGCTCTAAAACACCAGTGCTCTCTGCTGAGGCCTCCACAGGTACTTTCTACCTTTATCTCTAAAACTTCTGTTTTCCCAACAGGAAAGTGACCAAGGATAATCATACGCCATGACATTGGAGTGGCCTTGCCAGCCACAAGCTATAGTGTCATGAGGTCTGATGCTGGAGAGCCATGTCATCAAGTAAAACAGTCCCAAGGCCACGCTAACATTTCCCATAGGCAACGCATTGCTGCTGTACGGAGTTCACCATCTGGGACAATCCAAGCATGCGGGACCATGATGATTAAGTGCTTCAGTCAAAAAAAAAATTAGCCCAGAATTGATTCCTGAATTTTCTGAAATTTAGGACTGTTCATCCCTACACTCCCTCTTTTGCTCTTTCCAAAGCTTAGAGAGTTGCATGGTGTATGTTTGTCTAAAGAAAGTCGTGTTTTCAGGGGATATAGAGCCTGCTTGTGATCAGGATTTCCTGGGTCTAACAACATAGTTTAAACTCATTCTTTATCCTTCTCTAGGGAGAACTCCCAATCTGGGAGAGGTCTCAGTCTCGGAGGTGGGCTGGGATGCCCTCAGGCTCAACTGGACAGCCCCAGAAGGGGCCTATCAGAACTTTTTCATTCAGGTGCTAGAGGCTGACATGGTCCAGAGTGTCCAGAACCTTACAGTCCCTGGAGGACTGAGGTCAGTGGACCTGCCTGGGCTCAAAGCAGCCACTCGCTACCGGATCAGCATCCAAGGGCTCACTCAGGACTCCAGCACAGACCCTCTCTCTCTTGAAGTCTTGACAGGTATTCTAGACTCATTCACTCCTTTTCTCCAACCCTTGTCTGTGCTCTAGAAGAAGCAAGTCTGTAAGCAGGGTTTACCCTATTCCATTTTGGGAAAGTACCAGGGGATCGCTGTTGCTTTTTTTCAAGTGCCTTATCTATTGTTTGGCCAGGTCCTGCACTAACCCTAGTAGTTTTCCATGAAAATTCCACCTACTTTTCTTTTTCAAAAATGAGAACTGACTTATCTTGCAAAGTAAGTTTCAATTATAACATCTAAAAAGTTGGAAAACACAGTTTGTAAGTGAAAAATAAAATCTATCTGAGCTCATTTTAAGAACACTTAAGAGCTTCCCATAGCCCTATTTGTGTGTAGAGAATGAAAGTTTTGAGCAATTCTAAAAACTGCCTTTTATTCCCAGAGGCTGAAAGAAAAACATGGTTTTAATGCCGACAACTGAAATGTACTCAATACTGCAATAAATCAGTCTGTAGTCATCCCTACTTTAGCCAAAACCCATCTCATTTGAACTCCAGAGTACAGCTCCTTTTTAGTAACTCCATCTCTGTGTCCTCACACAGAAGAGATTCTGGTCTGGGCAACCTCACAGTGACAGGCTTAGCTGGGATGTCCTCAGACTGGACTGGATCACACTAGACAGGACTTATGTCCAGTTAGTTTATCACCTGGGTCAAGGAAGTTGACCAGGCAGAAGGAGATCATCATCTCACCATTTCTGGTATCCTATACACTACAGAAATCCCCAGGGCTGATATTCCCTTCACAGTAACACTGTCTGGCGAAATGATGGACCTCCATACTAAACCACTTGTTGTAGAGGTCATCACAGGGACATGGCGCTTTCTGGACCAGGGATGTAATATAAGTCAGCCTGTCCTTAAAGTAGGAAAAATTCCTCATGCATTGGAAGTCTTACCTGAATATGATTGGCACATTAGTCTGTGACTATCAGGTCTGGGCTAGAATTCCATATTACAAACTGAATATTTATTTCAGGATGTATTGCTTTGTATCTCTGGGCCTTCTTTTCTCATCTTCAAATTAAAAATAATATTCCTGCTTTAGAATCCTGCTGTGAGAAACAGGTAAACTAAGAAATGAAAGAACTTGACAAAGTGTCTGTCATGTAGCCAGTTGCAGTCAACAGCTAAGTTTATTGTAGTGTTGTTCAGGGTGTCCTAGAGGAACCAAAGTTATAGAATGAGTATATGAAATTTATTAGAATAGCTTACAGGCTGGAATCCAGCAGTGACCATCTACCAACAGAAAGTCCAAGAATCTAATAATGGATTCCACAAGGCTGGATGTCTCAGTTGGCCTTTATTAAACACTGGACTCCTGAAGAAGGAGGCTCTAACTCGCCAGTGCGAGTGAGAGCAGGCAGGCAGAGAGGGAGGTTCCCTCCTCCCTCTGCTCTATATGGATGCCAGCAGATGTGGCCCGGATGAAAGCTGGGTCCTCCCCTCTCAAATGGTCAGGCTTGAACGTGGCTCCTCCAGCTTCATGTATTTTATTTTTAAAGAATAATTCCTCTCAGGTGTACCCAGAGGCTTGGGTTTTTATAATTCCAGTTGCAATTGAGTTGACAACCCAGAATAGCCACCACAGTTGTAAAACCAATGCTGGTACAGAATAGCAGAGGCAGCAGGCTCCCTCAGAGGCAATAAGTAATACTTAGTTCCTAGCCAGACCTCTTCAGATCTGGGAAATGATCTAGCCATCTTGACCAAAAAGTGTCTAGGACTCTCTCTATAAAAGACACTTGGAATAAAAACATTTCCAGGAAAGGACAGGACATTTAAGTTCAATGTTTTTCATTTAAAATGAAGGGGGAAAAAAGGTTCTACTCAAATTGTCCATTGAAAATATGTTGTTCCATCTATCACAGAAAGCTATGTCTATTCATAAGGGGTCCAGACATAGCTCCCAAGGGGGCTGTGGTGAGTGATCAAATGTGTGGTGGCAAAAAATGTTGATGCTGACGTCCATGCATGTGCCTAGGATTTTGATAATGCCACCAAATTACCAAAAGTTTTCTTGTACACACACACACACACACACACACACACACACACACGTGTGGTGTGGGTGTAAAGCTGCCCATTGCTGTAAACATATAAGAAAGATGTGACCCCTGCACATTTGTGTACACACACACACACACACACACGTGTGTGGGTGTAAAGTTGGCCATTGCTGTAAATATATAAGAAAGATGTGACCCCTGCACATTTACACACACACACACACACACACGTGTGGGTGTAAAGTTGGCCATTGCTGTAAACATATAAGAAAGATGTGACCCCTGCACATTTGTGTACACACACACACACACACACACACACACACACATGTAAACACACTACTCCCACTCTGTTTCAGAATGAGAGCCTGAGACTGCATTGAGTTCAAAACAGGGACATTTTCCTTACCCCAAATTCATACTTTCTTAATTGGCAATAATGACCGCATTCTTACACAATAAAACAAAACTAATGGTGGGCCCTGCTTTGTACCATTTACATTTGCACCAGTTAGTAGCACAGAATCACTTTTAATTAAAAGTAAGCAGGCTCATTTCATCCAGCCTTGCTTTTGTGACATATGCTTCAAGCCAAAAGTGAAGAAGGTTGGGACAGTGAGAGCCAAACCAGGAATCTATTGTGTAACCTCATGTCCTTGAAAGCTGAGAAAAGCTCAGAGAAACCAGCACACCTGTCAGAACTTGAGACAGTGCCTGGTTCAGAAGTCTGAGTGCAGTGCAGGTAGCCAGCCACAGACGATCTTTTAGAGCTTCAAGTAATAAAATGAGGCGTCAGCCTCTCCTGCGTGACTGGGATGTTCCAAAACACATCAGCGGGCTCTATTTTTGAAGTTGCCATTTATCAGACACTTGCTATGATTAATGTATGATATGAAGATGTTGAAAAATATTAAGTCATCATCATAGAACCTAATGTGATGGTTCTATTTCAAACTGAAGGCTCAGAGAGAAAGCAAGATTTGCAACCTGACACAGTTTGCCAGTGTCAGAACTCTAACCCGGGTCTACGGACCCCCAAATCCTGTGCTTCTCACTACTCTACTTCCTTAGCCCATCCCAATCCCACCTTTTCCCCGCTGCCCTTCGTTACTGCCTGTGCATCCCTGCAGACTTCCGTGGTTTTGCCTCTCAAGGAGGCATGATGCAAAATTTCCTTTGCTGACTATTTTCAACTCTCTTCAACAAAACTATAACCAGAGTATCAAAATATGAATACAAAAATACCCAGAGACCAGGCGTTACCAAAACCACAACATTCTCTCTCCTCTTTTGCTTTCCTGGAGTTGGGTTGCGGGCATTTGACTTTCCTGCTCAGTTTGCAGCACTCACTGACAGAAACCTTTCTGCCTTCTTCAGAGGAGCTCCCTCAGCTGGGAGGCTTATCCGTGACCGAGGTCAGCTGGGATGGCCTCACACTCAACTGGACCACAGATGACCTGGCCTATAAGCACTTTGTTGTTCAGGTGCAGGAGGCCAACAATGTGGAGGCTACTCAGAATCTCACAGTACCCGGTAGCCTCCGGGCTGTGGAAATCCCAGGCCTCAAGGCTGACACTCCTTATAGAGTCTCCATCTATGGGGTGCTCCAGAGCTATAAAACACCAGTGCTCTCTGCTGAGACTTCCACAGGTATCTGGTATCTTCCCCGCCCATGCCAGTCCTTGTGCTTCCCTTCTCTCTCTCTCTCTCTCTCTCTCTCTCTCTCTCTCTCTCTCTCTCTCTCCAAGAGCATTAGCTTTTCTTTATGGCTGAGACTTTTCCATGCATGGTGCATGCTCAGAGCCCTTTCTGTGAGCTCTTCCTTCATCCCATCCCTTGGCCACAGCAATGATGAGTCATGTAAGATACTGCCCCTTCGGCTCTCTAACACCCACTCTCTCAATTTACCTGGCCCATCCTACAATGACATCTCTGAATGAAGGCCAATGGATAACCAGCCTGTAGGTTTTAACTCCTATCTCCATGCCTGGTAAAGAGAAAGCCCATCCTCACACATGTGAATTTTGATAGAGCACAGATCATTTATTTTAGTGACTCACTTGCTGTCTGAAAATGATACTTCACTATTTCAAAATCCCTCCTTGAGATGGGTCCTACAGGGCTTATACTTAACCAGTGATTCTTTTAAACTAAGTGAGCAGAAGAGAACTGAATTACCCTCATGTAGGCAATTCTCTCAGAAGCAGAGTCATTGTTAGAACAAAAAATGACTTAAATAGCTGACCAAAGAGAGGCAACGTACAATCTGGACTTGAGAATATCCTGAAGAGAACGTTTTCAGCAGTAGCCCTTGGAGCAAGGAGTATCCCAGGCTACAAATGAAGCAGTGCTAAATTCCCTTTTTGCTCTGTATAAGAGTTGCTCCCTGAAGCACTGGTCCTGGAGTGGCTACTTTCCAACCCCCACACCAGTGGTGCATTCTGGTTTACTCATCACCCTCTTCCAGTTACAAATGCTTTCCGCATTCAATGGCCTCTGGGAGTCTGCCCAAGTGAACAGCCCTTCCTAACCCTGTTTTCTGCGGCTCATCTTACGGTGTGCCCTGATGAGTGGCTTTCCAAGAGACTGCTCCCCTTTTTATATTACCGCGAGTAAACACTCACAGACAATGTTTACGTCTCTGTTGACTCTGCGATTTTGCCTCGCTCATTCTGAGCACCGTCACTGATACGTCCTCGAAACTCGGGCAACGGCTGTGTGGACAGTGACCTCAGAATGCCCGGACACTGCAGTTGAGGCTGTCCTGAATGCTCCTCTGGGTTCTTGTCTAACATCCACAAACGACTCCTTCCCAGAAGGCAGAGCAATCACCCACCACTTCTGATCTTTCCTGCAGATCTTGTGGTTTGGATGTCGCCTGTATTCTGTCTTATGGTAGCAACATTCTTATCTCTGATATGTTAGCCTGTAGAGGAGAAGGGCTGTAACTCTTCTGTGTCTCTGAGATTAGGGGTCTTACTCCTTATTGCACAGATTGTATCAGCTTCACAAACACTCCTCATGTACACCCCTTGCAAGCCAGATTGCTACCGCTCAGAAAAGCAAGAGCTCTGGCAGGACATCTCCTAGGCAAAGTGTAATTTCTTGGATAAATGGCCTGCTGAACTGTTTGGCTCGGCTGTCTTGGAGGGCAATGCAGGACTAGCCTTCTTGGCCCACACAGACACAAGGAAGAGAGGACATGCCTTTTTAACAGACGATGAGAACAGCTAGCTGTCCCTTATCTAAAGTATGAAAAATTATCAAGAGTTGTTCTGAGAGGTGAGTGGATCCTCTCAAGTGCCAAAATCTGAAGCCTCAAGGTCCCACTCAGGGAGGGCCATGGTGTCAGAATTACTTAGCACTCGTTAGATAGATAGGCACCCTCTCAAAGCAAAGAACGGCTAAAGGGGGAAAACGCACTTGGTCCCTGAGGGCAGCTCAAGAGCCTAGCAGCTGTCAACCCTCAGGACCCTGAGGCAGAGCTCTGGGAGGCAGGTCCAGCTAAGACAAATCCATTCCCACTACAACCAGCCAGCTCATCTCCTGTCCTGAAGTGTCTTGCCAGGCCTGATCATGAGTGGCAAATGTAGAGTAGAAAAATCTAATAGCTTTATCTTCCTTGGTTCATTTTTCTCTTAACAAAAACCTTTTCTCTTTCATTGCCACTGACTTTTACTGGTAGCATCGCTTGGTCTTGCTGTAGCCTTAAACCATCAGATCTTTCTCCCCAGGCATGATTTGTTCTATTAACCACCTCCACCTCAAAACACAGCCAAACAAATAATCAATTTGTTTCTTCTCTCCTAATTTCTCATTTTTCAGCCAAAGAACCTCAAATTGGAAACTTAAATGTTTCTGGCGTAACTCATGAGAGCTTCGATCTCTCCTGGACAGCGACCGACGGGATCTTCGACATGTTTGCTATTGAAATTATTGATTCCAATAGGTTGCAGCAAGCGACAGAACGTAATATATCTGGTGCTGACCGATCTGCCCACATCTCAGGGCTCCCCCCTAGTACTGATTTCATTGTCTACCTCTCTGGAATTGCTCCCAGCATTCGGACCCAAACCATCAGTACCACAGCCACCACAGGTACATGAGCATTCTCTAGTTTCTGACACTCTCTGCAGTCTTTGTCAGCAGGATGAAGCCACTTCATTTCATTGGCCACTGAGGTACAAGCCATGGAATACTGGTTTTCCTAGGTCGCTGGGATACACCATTGCCTAACAAAACTCTCCTCCCACAGCCATCTAAGTGGAACGTTTTCATGAATCTATGTGTCTGATTTATCAGCAGCAGATCATTGTAAATACTATATGACCCTTTATCCAAGTTGCCATAAAGCATTTGAAAAAAGGAACTCTCCCCTTTGGTAACTTCAAAGTCATCATGAGGATTTTCCAGGGCTTGCAAAGATGTCTCTTCCAGTCAAATTTACTTTTTTTTTCCCCTAGCATCTTTGTCGTCCTAAAGTCTTGAACAACCTCATACCAAATTATCTTCATGATTTCAGGAAATTTTCAAGAGTATCCTGCTTATTTTCTTGTTTGTTTCCTCTATCTGAAAACAAATGAAAATAGAAGAATAAAGGTAGTTAACTAATCAGATAAGCAGGAGGTAACCACACCGTTCACATCACCTCAACCTCAGTACCAGATGGAGAGGTAAAGATGCCTCTGTCCAGAACATTGAGAGACGTGTAGCAAAAAGGAGTTGATAGTCATGTTCAGATAAGGAGAAGCCCAAGGGATCAAACTGCCCTGGCTCTGGATATCTAACCATGGCATGTGTTCTGGGCCAGATGGGTTCTGCTGTGCAGATGAGGGAATCATCTGTGAATTAGGAAGGAGAGCTTTGTACTCTCTAGCAGTATTCTCAGTACATTTGAGGAAATACCTTCTCTTTGCAGTGATTAGCACACCACACACTAGAAATGCATTTATGTGTGTGTATATAATGTATATATGTATATATAACATATATATGCGAAAATACAGCTTTTTCATTATAGTTCACAAAAGAGAAACTATTCTGGGGAACCATCAAAATTACCTTCTACTTAGGTCACCAATGATCGTCAGAGACCCCATGTGTATGCTATTTTAGACTGCAAATTATTATCAGGGTTGTCCCTAGAAAAGGGGAGCCACAGCCCATTCATGTTTAAGTACAAAAAAAAAAAAAGACAGGACAAAAATCAGTTGACTACATACACTTGCTTTGAATTGGTTCTCAACAAAGAACAATTCTTATCTGAAAGATGGAGTCTAAAACTTTATGGAATTAGTCTCTGCATTTTAATTTTGACTATAATGGTGACTTAAATGGGATTTTCATATATAATCTTCTTTCTTTCATAGACAACTTTCTTCCTAGCCACATCCCTACCTCAAATATGACCCCAGGAGCTTGCCCTAGCTTCTTACAGAAGTTACTTGTTTTGATCATACTCTGTCCTGGGACATCCTGAAATTCTGCCATCCCTAGCCTTGAATAAGCCTTCCTCGAATTGCACTATTTACCTGCACAGGCCACGAGCCAGGCAGCATGCTCAGGTCCTGGTGGGCCACACAGCACAAGTGCATCCCACAAGGCAGGCAGCATGCAGCACAGGGGTTCTTCCGTCTGTATGGAGCCCCTCTGAGCAACATTTTAAAAGTCAGCTACTACCCGTTATCATCCTCTCACTTCTTACTTACAGATCTGTCTCAATTTGATAGAAGCATCTAATCAGAGCTTTACAGCTTTAAAATAAGAAACTTGGGAGTCTCAATGCTCTTCCCTGCATAGCCACTGCCATCTGCTTGTATTGAGTTGACATGACTCATTTTGTTTCAGTTCCTAAACCATCTTTTCCTCCACTCCTCATAGCGCTCATTCTAATCTGGCTCTGGCCTTTCTAACCAAAGTCTCCTATGTCTCACTCAAAGGAATGTCTGCATGCTGTTTGAGGTCAAAGTGATCTATAGTTGCTTTCCATCTGCCAGGATTTTATTTATCGGGGGCCTTAGACTGTTAAGAAAGAAACTCTAAATTGCAGCCGAAACCTCATAGGAAGACCCAGTTTTGGCCATCTTGTTCTGGAGATGTCTCGTTTGTCTGAATTCGTGACAAATAGGCTGCTCTCTTTTGACATCTGCTCTGGCAAGCCTGTGCTGTCACCCACTGTTGTCTGTTCAAAGCACCAGAACTTTCTTCCCATCCATCAGCTTGTCAAAATCACAGTGCATGCAGTGCCTGTTCCGAGCATTAAGTCTTTAAACGTGTCTGTCTCTTTTTGAAGCAGACAGCATGTCAGGGAAGTATTTGTAAGGGTTAGAAGGGGTGGGAGAAAAGCGTCCCTTGTTTGCATGGAATGCTGAACACACCCCGACTAGCATTCTCTTCCTGGGATGTGTCTGACATCTCACATTGCAGTGCGGTTGCATCCTCTGGGCATTGGATGAAGGTAACACTAACCTGAGAACCAAGCATCTGCATGATGACACTGCCAGTCGTCTCACAGTCACATGAGGAGAGTGATAGACTCTATATTTAATTCAGGAGATTGCTTCTATAGCAAAAGATGGTGGAGATCTGCATTCCATCTGGAGGACTTTATTCTCCCTGTGGGTGGAAAAGCTTGCCAATGTGGTGGTGAAAACTTCAGCATTATCAGCACCTCAAATTGACAGGAAAGAAAAGCCACGCCATGTAAGCTGTTTCTGAGCCAGATTGGTTTGACCCTTAGAGACCTTGGAGCACGTATGCCATGCGGCTTTGCAGTTAAAATTTACCCAAAAAAAAGCCCATTCTTTTTTTTATTATTGATTTTTTTTATTGAACTCTACATTTTTCTCTGCTCTTCTCCCTGTCTCTCCCCTCCCCTTCAAACCTCCCCCCAAAGTTTCCATGCTCCCAATTTACTAGGGATATTAATCTTTTTCTACTTCCCATGTAGATTAGATCTATGTAAGTCTCTTTTAGGGTCCTCATTGTTGTCTAAGTTCTCTGGGATTGTGATTTGTGGGCTGGTTTTCTTTCAACCCCAGATTCTATTAATAGCTCAGTATTCTAGGAATACTGTTTCTCTTTAAAATGCAGTCTGGTTCGACTTACTTCACATTATTATTGCTTAATAAATGAGGAGGAGGCTGGTCCCACATACATCTCAGGAGATACTAGCTATGAAGGGCTATTGTGTTAAATGAGCTGCTTGCTACTAACTGTTTAAGGGACAAGCGAAGTTTTGCCTCAACACAACTCCTTTTTTACAAACATTCCATTATGTAAATTCCCTAATCAAGGAATTTGGTGCTTATCTTCATGTTTTCTACAGCTTTTGCATATACCAGATGTTTATTAATGGGAATCATCTTCATTTACATAGCATTTGGAGTGAGGCATGGATTTTCCCATTATACATACATGTAAGTTTCCAATGCCCTTGAAGAAATTCCATATACGTGTGGATATTAGCCTTTAATTTGTGGAGATACACACACACACACACACACACTCACACACAGTGTATTTACCATATTTTCTTGCCAGTTTATCCACCAATGGACTAGAGTTGCTATGCAATATTAACAATAACAATGACACTAAATGCAAGTTTCTAACCCTGAAAAGCAATGCCACTCCTGAGAAGGAGAGGGCCATCAAAACCCCTTGTGGGAGCTCTTCACACTTGTCTAAAGCTTCATGAATCTCTGGGCTCGTTTTATAGGATTTTTTATCCACACTGTAGAGAGTCTAGATAAAGAGTAAAATCTACATTAGTGGCGATCTAGAGCAGGAATTTTGTCCACAAATTGTGGCAGGTAAGATGTAAAGGGCCTATCCTAGTATCTGAGAAGTTCAGTAAATACTATAATTTGTCATTTAAAAAAACTTGCCCCAAGCCAAACAAAAAACTTATGCAAAACAGCCAAGCACAACAAACTGACAAGTTCAACCTAGGAAGGCTGGTCATTTGCTAAACTTTACCCACCTATTAAATTTGACCTGTGACATTTCTTTGAAACACATAAAGACATGATGCCTATTTTCTGTCCTGGTCCTACCTAAGTCAATGGTAACGGCTGCCATGGTTTCAGAAAAGGAAACCTCAAAGAATGGTTAGAAATTCTATTCTAACAGTAACTCTCAAGACACAAATGTGGTCTTCTGTTTTCACTAAGCCAGTCCCTCCTAGAGTCTAAATCACCATAAGGAAGATATGTCAATAAGTATAGCTCAATATGTATGGTAGCTGAGATCAAGCCTAGTTGATATTTAACCTCTCTCGCATCATCTTGCCAACATAGCCTTGGCAAGTTGCAAATTTATTTGAACCCCAATTTCCTCATGTTAGGGAAGAGAGTACCCACTGGTGCTCTTGGCCGCCTATGTAGGAATCTAGCAGACATGGGTGAAGTAACTGCCTCACATTCTCTGGGTATTCTAGAAGTGCTATGTCCCTCCTGTTGTCTCCCAACAGTAAAGTGGTCTTGTTAAAAATAAACAACAAGGCTGGGGTGTAGCTCAGAGTTAAAGTCCCTAGCCCATCATGAGTAAGGTATTAGATTTTCTCATTATTCCTGTACATAAGTAACTAAAAGAACCAACATGCCTAGATGAAACAGTAGAAGGACTTCCTCTTAGTAGTACATTGAGTGTGTGGCATAAGATTTTAAATTGTTATTTTTTCAATCATCAAATGTAAATTTAAGCCATTTCATAAGTAATGTAGAAAGAACAGGTGTGAGTAGAGAGTCTTAGTACCCCAAGAACACAGATCCCATCAGGCCCTTACTTGTCACCTTCTGTTGGGCCTCCCACAGACTTGAGAGAAGAGAGGGAGGCTGAAAGAGGGACACTCAGGAAGGAAGAATAGATCCAGTTACAGTGTTGTTTCTGCTAATCCATAATGTGAATAGACTCTACGCTTTGAAAGAGGCATACCAAAAAAGAAGACAATGAATAGGAAAGACTAGGGGTGTGGGTGAGACAAGCGTTCATCTGAATAATTAGGCTGAAAGTACCTGTTTTCACTGGAACTCACTGCTTGGATGGCGCAGAGTTACAGAGGCCAGCAAGAAAGTCAGCACTTATCTAAACAAAAGCAACATCTGATACCCTTGCTTTACAAAGCAAGATGGTTTGAACAGTAAATATAATTTCATCTTTGCTTTGATAAAGCTACAATTCTTGGGAAATCTTCTCATGAAAAAATATCCCACAAAATAAACTTCAACTGCTTCCAAATACACACAGGAAGTCTAAGGCAAAGCAAAACTTTAGTCTCCGCTTCCAGGTGAAGGAATCCATTCACTTATTCACTCTGATGCCAATTACTTCTTTTTAAACATTTTCTTTATATCCCAGGGGTTTGACTGTGGGCTTTAATTCAAGGTTAGTCAGAACTTTGAAACTTCTTAATTAGCTGCACAAAAGAAAGGAAGGAAGGAAGGAAGGAAGGAAGGAAGGAAGGAAGGAAGGAAGAAGTTCTAAGTTAGATGCTGCTAAAGCAGACCTGGACATAGAAACCCCAGCCCTGTCCCCTTTGATACAGTGCAGATACATTCAGCATTGCTGTGTGCGGTTGTTCTGGAGAAGATGCATTAGGGCTTCTCCTCCAGATTTCTCTATGCCTTAGGATACAAATGGAAAGAATACTGAACTCAGAGCAAGAAGCCCATGTTGGATCCCAGCTCATCCATGTACTAGATCTGGGACGCAGGAAAAGTCTTTTCCCATCAATGAAATGAAGGCTAGCAGGCAGGTGGCAACACCTCCCATACAGTATCATTGTGTTAGACTGGATCTTCAAATGAGAGATATTTCCAGAAACTTGGCTACCGTAAGGTCACTCTTTGGGAAGGCCAAATGGTATGTGAAAAGACCCCTGGCAACTAGGAAAGAAGCTTACCTGAGACACAGATGTTGGTGATATGGACGGACAAAGCATGGTAACGGAGGAACAAAATATGCTCTTGCTCTCTAACTTCACCCAGGAAAGGAAATAGCACAAAAAGCAGCAAACCTTAGACTCTCTTCCTTGACCATAAGCATAAACTGTTAATTTGGACAAAAAAAAAGACAACAAATCTTACTGGTTATTCCCGTGATCTTAGCTTATGAAGCTGTACCATTCACAAATTGGCCCAAATGACTAGACTTAAAATAAGAAACAGAGTAAGATATAAAATATACCAAAAAGAAAGTATGCTTGCAACAACAATACTTCAGCATCAGAAACTGCAAAAGATAGATGAATGTCCAAACTGACACAGGTGTCATGTTTCTAGAGTGAGAAGTACATGACCTGAATTAAGATCAGCCGAAGACCTTGATCCATTGGGTACTAGGGTGAGATTCGGGCAACTCTTTCAACCACTTAAAAACGTTTTTAACCTATGAGTGGGGATCGTATTTTCTGCATAATATTATTGAGAAAAACACCCTACATAACACAATTAGGTACCGAAGACATAATTTCTAAATGTTCCTTTCTGAGCATTTAACTCATGAGATGACTGACTGGGAACCTGTCAGGGTTTGTGAAGTCATGAGCATTAGCTCACGGGATGATTGATAGGAGTCAGTCTATCGCTATTCACGGGGTCATGTGCTGCCCTAACCAAACCAGTGCTGCTAACCTGAGTCGTTTTCACTCCTCCCTTCTTTCAGAGGCCTTGCCCCTTCTGGAAAACTTAACCATTTCCGACACTAATCCCTACGGGTTCACAGTTTCCTGGACGGCATCGGAGAATGCCTTTGACAGCTTTGTAGTAACGGTGGTGGATTCTGGGAAGCTGCTGGACCCCCAGGAATTTACACTTTCAGGAACCCAGAGGAAGCTGGAGCTTAGAGGCCTCATAACTGGTATTGGCTATGAGGTCCTGGTCTCTGGCTTCACGCAAGGGCACCAAACCAAGCCCTTGAGGGCTGAGGCTGTTACAGGTATTTCAATTCAAGAGAGCCATATGCTCTTGTTCCGTGTAGTCTGTCTACAGGGTCACTGTGGTTTTAACATGTTGTCTGTATTCCCCATTTAATCCACGAATGTGACTTGCTCTTTCATGATTTCCCTTGTCTCAAAATATCTAATGAGTACTCACTCCTCCCATTCCAGAAAGGAGAAGGTCGAAATGTGTCCCTTCAATGTTTCAAGTCCTCTAGTCCATGTCTTGCCTATAGCCCTGACATGCTTACTTCATTGACCTCCCTTTATGCTCATCCTGGCTGGTCCCCAGCTGCATTTCAGCCTTCTCAAAAGAAATATACCAATGTGTATATTTTGAAAAAGTATTTTAAAATCTTTGCTATCTCAAAGTCTCAACCTGTGACATTAGCCAACTTGCCTACTTGTCTTCTCATTGGAAACTAAATAAAATGTATTAAACTCATCTTTTATGAAAACTAATATCAGAAAGGTTCTTCCACATAGACTAAATTCATAATGTTCTCAAGACTAATACTTTCTATAGAAATATTATATTAATGATCTTAACAGTCAAAAATCTGTGTTTCCCAAAGTATTTCTGGAGAAAACAAGCTCTAGAGAGTGTTCAAAGTTCTCATTAGATGACATTTCATTTTTGGATAGGTTGGAAACAGGATCTTTGACCACGTAGGCTTTTCAGAAATCTTACTACAGATCTTGCAGGGAGCTGTATTCCCCACTCTTGTTTGACAAGGAATGCTTTGTAAAGAAAGGGGGGTAGAAAAGGAAGTTTGCTTTGAACACTCTTTGGGAAACTCTGCTCCAGATTTATTTTGACCTTGAGTTTTGTCTAGTTACAAAAATGAAACCCTGGGTACAAAGTATATATAAATATATTTGAAGAGGTTCCAAGCCTCATTCTACCACCTAAACACTTACCTAATGGCTAAACTAGCAGGAAAATAAAATTGACAGAAACAAAAGTAAAGAACAGCAGCTTTCTTCTGTAGACCAGCTCCTGTGAACAAAGCCAAAAGACCAGAATATTTTGAGTCATTTTGCTCAGGCTCAAGGGGAATATAATCATCAGAATCGTTATGGACAGTTCCACAAATCATTAAAGCTGGTTTATTTGTCTTTTCAAAAAGAAAGGAAAAGGCACTAACAGAGGATTGGCACTCAGCCACTGGTAGACAAAGAGCAAATGTAAACAAATCATGGCTTTGAACTTATTTAATAACTCATGGGCAGAGCCAGCGCTAAGTCCAGATGTGGATTTGTGCAATTACTTTTAGACAAAACTCACAGATGCAAGAGTATGCTTGGCTTGTATTGAATGTGTCAACTCCATGTCTTTCCTCTCCTTGCCCTACTAGACTTATTAATATGAAACCGTTTTCTTTCCTGGTATCTCAGGAAACCGAGGTGCCACTATACTCTGTATCCCAGCAGGAAGAAGCTTATATGGACTGCTGATTAATGCTCTGTTTCCCCCCCTCTTCCGCTGTCTTCTCTCCTCTAGAAGCTGAACTGGAAGTTGACAACCTTCTAGTTTCAGATGCCACTCCAGGTGGTTTCCGTCTGTCCTGGACTGCTGATGAAGGGATATTCGACAGTTTTGTTCTCAGGATCAGAGATACCAAAAGGCAATCCGCACCACAAGAAATAACCCTCCCTTCCCCCGAACGTACCAGGGACATAACAGGTCTCAGAGAGGCCACTGAGTACGAAGTTGAACTCTATGGAATAAGCGGTGGAAGGCGATCCCAGCCAGTCAGTACCATAGCAACAACAGGTACTGTAAACAAACAGGTGCCATAGTAACAACGGGTACTATAAATAATCAAGAAAGGAGGGAGGAAACTCAGGAATCCTCTTCCTGTAGAGCTCCATAATTACAGGAGCTTTTGGTGAAGGCAGGTTGGCATTGGGATCCTAGTTCCTTCAAGTATAGACTGTTCTCCTAGACTGTGTGGGCAAGGCAGGGTGGTGAGGATGCAGTGAGTTAATTCATGTAAAACCCATAACATGGCACCCGATACACAGCAAAGGCTCTGTGAAGGAGAGCTAGTTCACAGTGTCTCTAATATATTATCGTCTTAACAACTACGGGACATTTTAAATTCCAAAAGCTCTTCCTTCTCTCTCACAGTATATACCCAGAACACAATCCTCTGTTGTTTGGTCAAATATTACAGTTGCACTAGGTGAGGGACAATGGACACAAGGATTAGTGTTTAGAAGCTGTCCCACACAATCCATAAATACCACGGTTAGCAAACTGAAAGATGGAGCTGGTAAGACTAGCAGGTTGGTCTTCCTGAGGTTCACAAAGTTGAATGGACACTTTTTAAAAAAAGGTCAGCGCCCTCTAGAGGAGACATAAACCCTTTTCACTATCAGCTATGCCAAGAATAAAGGAAAAGATGGTTAGGTGCACAGTTGTTATAGTCATAAAACTTATGTGACAATTTAGAGGTAGAAAGACAGACCTGGAAGAATGGTGATATTTTTAGAAAACTGGGGTAAGAGTCAAAATAGCATTCTATAGACCAGCAAAGGAACCAGAGGAAGAAGTCAGAAAACCCCAGGGAAAGGGGTTTAGAAGTGATTAGCTACATACGGAGGAACAGAATCAAGAATCTGAGACCCAGAAAGCTAAAGTGTTGTGCCTAAGCTCATTCTGCTATACCGAGATTATTTGAGTGCTATTGAAATTATTTTAATGAGCAAACCAGGTGACTGATAATGGATGAATATATATACTTATTGTGTCTGACAGGCACAAAGCTTATTAGTCCCAAGTCCCTATTCTCTGCATTAAGACATGTTTTGCTGTATGGGAGTGTAGAGGTGGGTTTGTGGTGAGTGCGAGCGTGTTCATATGTGCACATATGTGTGTTTTCACTTATATGCGGAAGCCAGAGGTCAACTTCAGGTATCATACTTGCAAGCCATCTACTCTCTCTCTCTTTCTCCCTCTCCCTCTCTCTCTCTCTCTCTCCCTCTTTCCCTCTCTCTCTTTGTCTCTTGTGTGTCTCGTGTGTGTATATGTGTGTGTGACAGAAATGGAGAGACAGATATAACATAGACAGAAATATACTGTGTGCCCATTATACATGTGTGATATGGTATGCACACAAGTGTGAGCATGCAGGTGCTAATGCCTTTGTGTGCACCAAGGCCAGGAGAGGAAGTGGGGTGTCCTACTCTATCATTCTCTATATTGATCTCTTGAGACAAGGTCTCTCACTGACCCTGGAGCTGGATTTCCTCCATCAAGCTACAGATAATTCCCCTCCATACACACACACACACACACACACACACACACACGTGTGCACCCAACACTAGAGTTATACACACAGGGCTGGGCCCGGCTTCTTATGTATCTCCCCCAGCAATTTGATTATAAGTGTGACACCATGCCAACTCTCCACATGGCTGCTAGGGTTGAACTCAGGTCAGCATGCTTATTCAGTAAGCACACTACAGTCTGAACTATCTTCCCAGCACCGAGACAGATATGCTATTGTGTGAAGAGACAGGATGGAACAAGCTGAAAGAATCTACCCACAGAAACTCTAACACTACCTGCAGACGTAGTGACTGCATTAATTTGGGGAGGAAAAGCACGGCTCCTCTTGCATGCAGTATCCCCACCTCATGCACAGCTGGCACACTGCACATAGTTGCCTTCCAGAGTACCCCACCCCAACTTTGATCTCCTTCTCCCTGTGGCTGCACAGACTGACCTCGGTTTATAAACACTGCTCATCAAAGTTTACTTCTCATCGCTGGTTTTGGTTTGCATATTTTTTTCTCTAAAAGCCCCATAGTTCTAAAGAAAAAAGATTAAGCATGAGTTGATTTGCTTTCTTAAGAACAAAGATCAAGGGCAAAGCCTGCTTCTCTTGGGAAGACCCCCTCTTAGGGTCCTCGCTGTGGGATAAATTCACAGCCAGTGAAAAACAAGCATGTGTATAGGTACACCATGTGTAACAATGCATGTGTCCGTGTGTGCCTGCACACACATGCTCTGGGACCAGGAGAGGCCAGGGTAGGTATCTATCTGGAAACCAGCTGTCCACACTTGAGTACCTAGGGCAGCAGGGAAGGCAGTAAAACCTAGTGGTTAGCCAATGGTCTCTGAGCAAACTTTCAGAGCCTAGTCATGTTTCTCCCACTTAGCAGCCATGGGACCTTGGACAAGTCTCAAGCACCCCATCTGGAAAGCAGAACTTAACTCAAAAGCCAGCATAAGATTTAAACATGGCACCAGCAGTGACTAACTCTTTCCTTGCCCGTGCTAGCTATTACATGATGGTTAGTTGTAAGCTTTATTTTTAATAGACAACAAAAGGCAAGAGTTAAAAGACTAGAACAGAGAGATATAGACTATGTAGCTACACGGTGGTTCTCTCTAGCGGCAATAAAGATTATCATTTTTTTTTCTCTCCAGAAATGTACAAATACACAAAATTCTACATACGCTAAATTCTTTGAGCACTATGTTTAAACGTATCATGCACGCTTGCTGTTTTGTGCTGTGTGCTCATGTACTGAGATAACCCCATGGTCATCACTCAGTCGTCCTACCTATGGACACTTAGCTTAGTATTTGTGTTGTTCCTCTGTCCCTACACTTGCAGCGGCTTCTCTTCCCAGCTGTGCTCAGACCTCCATAGAGAGATACTTCCTCATCCTCTAGGAAGAGAAATGCTGCCAGACCCTGCACACAATCCTGAAAGTCCCTTCCAAATTAGGCAAGCAGCCCAACAACAGAGAATAGCAACTCCTGCAGCCCACCAAAGGTGCTCAAAGTAGGAACCGGAAAGCATTTTCTTGGTCGGTCCCAGTCTCTCTCAGTACACATGTCTTCCTGGAGCTCTCTTCCAGTCCTAATGCCTTAAGTGTTATTGACACCCTTCTCAGCCTCCAGAACAAAGTCTCCACTGTAACAAGCCCACATCTCCCAATCAGGCCCCCTCTGAACCCCTCTGCCCCATGTCAATCAAGATGGACTTGAAGCCACACCATAGAGCTGCATTTCCATCCTTTGGGAAGCCTGATCAGCTTATTTCAGAAATGCCCCTTAGCAAATCTCCTTCGATATAACACAAGCTTTCCATGTCTGATGCCTCTGGTTCAGAGTCATGCCTTTTCCCAGGAAGCATAAGGATGGAAACCACCGACTGAAAAGCACAGGCTTTGTGCCACATACAGCTAGGCACATTACGAAATGTCCAGTACACAGGCAAACCAAGACAGAAACATCTTCAGCCCCATTTCACAGATGTAAATATTGAGCCCCAGGGTGCTAACGTGTTTGTAAGGGGTAAAATCAAGGTGGAACTCTTACCAAGGTTATTTCAACTTCCAAGTTCTTGTCCATAAACCCACCAGCTATCCTCTTAACTGAACATAAACTTAATGCATATTAAGTGACCAATACAAATTTGTAGATAGGGAACTGATTCTAAATGGTTGACAATTGCCACTGATGAAAGGCATTCACTATCGATTTCGAGAAAGGAGGTTTTATGTGGAGAGCAAGTGGAAGCCCTTTTAGAGCTTTTTATTTCTTTAACCAATTCCTTGTATTTAGCTAAAGGAAGTTCTTTTTTTTAATTGAGTCTAATTGTAAAGAAAGCATTACCTAGGCCTCTACTACTCAATGTGTGTGTGTGTGTGTGTGTGTGTGTGTGTTATGAATGTGTATTCATACATGTGTCACCATACATGTTTGAGAGATGCAGGTGCATGTGTGTGCTCACACTTACTGAGCCAGAATTTGGTTGTCATCCTCTATCACCCTCCACCTTATATGCTGAGGCAAGATCTCTCCTTAAAACCCAGAGCTTGCCAATCCAGTGGGTCTAGCTAGCTGAATCACTTGGAGGGAAGGGGATGTCTCGCCTCTGTTTCCTGGAAACAGGGTTACAGCTTGTATGTGGATACTGGGCATCTAAACTCAGACTCTCACATTTCTGTGTTACCTATTAAACCACATCCCCAGCCCCTTCCCAGCTTTTTAATAGATGTGATTCCATTGTTCTGTGCTTAACTTTCTGTTGTAGGTCTCAAGACTAGAGGACCCTATTCATAGCAGAAAGTTGTACACTAAACCAACAAATACCTAATAAGTTCTTTAGTATGAAAATATCATGCCCACTGCTCCTGCAATTCCACACCTACTGTGACATTGTTGCAGATGATACCTGCTTGTCCTCTTACTATCAAATACATCCCCATGAGTACATAATGGATGAGGTCACTGATTCTTACAGCGTTTAAGACAGTGTAGATAATGTCTCTGTTTTCTGGATGAGAAAACTGGGATCCAGAGGAGAAAGCTTTGTCTATAAGACACAGCTTCTAAAACCTACACTAACCAGCAAGGTTTCCAGTTCGGACATGTCAGTGGATTGAGTAGGCATAGGGAAATCCTCCAAGACAGAGTTCATGTACACCAGTTGGTCTGCTCTCAGCTAGACTCATCTAGAAAGTTCAGGGTAGTAGGCTTGGGAAAAGGTCACCAGGAGAAAGAAAAGAGAAAGGACAATTACATCTAGTGAATTCTCCGTGTGCCAGAGGCTGTGCTAAGGGTTTTACACCCATTATTCCCACTAATCCTCAGAACATTCCTGTGGGTACCACTTTCCCCATTGGAGGGATGGAGCAACCAATGTAGAGGGGAAGAGACTTGCCCCAGGCTGCCCGGCCTTTCAGTGGCATTTGAACAATTAAGATCTTGTAGGTTCCTGAGACTCTGTGGTCTAAAAAAGAAAAAACCTTGCCATGGACAGGGTGAAATAAAAAGTAAAACAGGTAGGCACAGAGACTCACCGAAAAAAGTTGTGGGAGGACATAAGGAGATGCTTCTGATTAGAAAAAAAAGAAATGGATAAGAAAAAAGTTTTCTCCCCAAATCTCAATGTGTTTCCAAACTTAATGAACAACAGGGTTGAAGCAGGGAAGAGGCGAGGAAGCAGGCAGACAAGAGTCCGGAAATTGTTTTCTGAGTTAGCACGTCAGCTGAAGCAGGCAGAATCCTAAGTCAAAAAATAGAGAGAAGCCAAAGGAAACCAAATTTGGGGAGGACAAAGTAAGGCAGCAGACATGTCCCCTGGGCATGCACTTTCTACAGGTCTACTGGTGGGAGCTTTAGTGATGACCTGACCTGATTCTTGGCTTTGGATCTCCTTGAAGATTCTGGAGTGGGCTGTCAAGACTAGTTTCCAAGTCAGCTTAATTTCCGGATGTCAGGCTGTTCTTGGCTCAACTGCCCAACCACTGATCCAGAAATGTCCCATTGGAAGAATGTTGGTGAGAGAAAGGAGGTTTACTTTGGTCCTCTGTATAATGACTACAACTGCATTTTCAGCTCAGTCATAAAATGAGGAGTAAGCCATGTAATTTGGAAAGAACTATGTGCTTTTAAGACTTAGCATTAAAAAGAAACAGAAAACAATGGCATGAAAAATACTAAAAATAAAATCAAAGAAAGTTGTTTGGATTTGAGGAGCACTCTCCTCACTTCTGTGGAAGCCACAGGCACGCTAACATCCATCTTTGGTGAAGTCCACAGTCACTCCTGGTCTACACAGTTGCTGTCGCTGTCTCTGCGGGACATTCTGTTTCACGTCACAGGGTGACCATGTATCACAATTCTCTATTCCTAAGGCTTGGTTCTGACGCCAGCTCCAGATACTAAGTGCTCCTGGGTAAGAGATCCAGGAAAAACTACTGATGGACAAGATAGGTGATGTTTCAGGCTTTCTGTTTTGTTTTTGCCTTGACAGCCATGGGTTCTCCGAAGGAAATCACGTTCTCAGACATCACTGACAACACAGCCACCGTCAGCTGGAAGGCACCCACTGCCCCAGTGGAGAGCTTCCGGATTACCTACGTGCCTATGACAGGAGGTAGGGACCTAAAGATGAAAGAGGGTGGGAAGTGCATGCAAGATGAGGATTAAATAGTGAATCCCATCCTGGCTGTTCTTATCACACCCCTGCCCAAGCATCATGGCTAGTGAAAACCGCTTCTCTCCTGATCATCTACACTTCCTTTGGGAAGGTCTGTAAGACATTTTGGAAGATACTACCTTAGGAAAAGGTCTTTAGGAAATTTCTGGTCTTGAAATTGTAAATTAACAACAACAACAACAACAAAAAAAAAAACCTTGAAGGCAATGGGACCCAGTACTGTTTGAACTCAGAGGAATTTATATCCTTTTTCCTCTTTGATCACAGTCATCTGGAACACTTGCCTACGATATGTGTTAGGTTTTGCCCTTGGCGGCCACATCTGCCAGGCTCACTACAGACTTAGCAAAGTTAGAGCCTAGAACACACAGACTTTAATGACGACTTCAGGAAAGTATAGTTCAAACACAGTGACTCTTAACCTCCCTAATGCTGTGACCCTTTAATACAGTTCCTCATGTTGTATTGACCCCCAACAATATAACTATTTTCATTACTGCCTCATAATGTAATTTTGCTACCTTTAGGAACTTCAATGTAAATATTTGTGTTTTCTGATGGTCTTAGGCAGCCCCTTTGAAAGGGTCTAGACACAGGTTGAGAGCCACTGACCTAGTAAGTAGTAAGCTGCCTGTTGTCACATGCTTATAAAGACAAGCTTGTTGGTAACATCAACACTGTAATATCTCTCTCCATGGGGAGCTTGACCAGCTGGTTTGCAAATTCTTCCCCAGTCCTGAAATTTTAAGAAATATCAATTCCAGACTCCCTAATAAATTTAAGAGCACAGACTTAACTGGGACCATCTTTATATCATGAATAGAATCTAAAGCAAGGAAGAAATGAGCATCCTAAGTGAAGTCAATGAGTTAATATGGATATACGCTACATTGTAAGCTTCCCACAGAGTTCATGGGCTGAAAAAATAAAGAAAATAAAACTTAAATCATGCCAACACCTTCCCGAAAGGAAACTTGCCATTTTTAGTATACTGTGACCTCATGATTTTTTCCTTTCCTGACTGGGTTTTTGGCATCTGCAGCAATGGAAAAAGCATTATACAAAAAGTAAGGTCTTTTCCTTCATGCCAGAGGGTGAGAGAAGAGAAGGGCACGTCAAAAAAGTGAGGTTGCATAAAGATATTATCTGTAAGTTGGATTTGGCCATGATGAGTAAGTGTGATGTAGTCTCCCCTCCCTGATCCTGCTTTGCTGGTTTCCAGGTGCCCCCTCCGTGGTGTTGGTGGATGGAACTGATACTGAGACACGTTTGGTGAAGCTCACCCCTGGAGTGGAATACCATGTCAGCATTATTGCCATAAAGGGCTTTGAAGAAAGTGATCCTGTCTCAGGGTCACTAACCACAGGTGTGTGCAGTGATCAGCGTTCCATCCTTGCCCTTAGTGTGATGACTCATGATGGAGAGTTGCAGAAACTTGCTCTGGTGGAAAAAGCTGGAATTAGAACACCCAGCACCCCCCTCCGGCTCATCCTTAGCCTCTAATAGGTTGGGCTGCCCCAGAGACTCCATTCGACTACTGTGAAAGGGTCAAGTGTAAGAATCATACTGAGCTGAGCTGAAAGCCTGAATCTTCCATGTGTTAGCCAAGCAAGCTTCCAGCTAATTTCTGAGGTCCATTTAAGCTCTCTGTACAATGGATACCATTTTGCCTTCCTCGTCAGTAAGCATAAGTGCGACTTCACTATCAGCTCATCCCCCCCCCCCCATGCCTGGGAGCATTGTGAACAGCCCAGAACACATGCTTGCCCTGAGATGGGATGGCGAGAATTGTGATGCAGCTGTTCTCTGTTGGGCAGGTGCTGCATAGGAGACACTATTGACAAACACTTTGCATTGCGTCCTCACTGCTGCGTTCATTCCCAGCTTATAGAAGAGGCACACGGGAGATGCACAGACTGCAAAGTAACAAGACTAGAAATGTGGGGTCAAACTCAAACATAGGTCACTCAGGCCAACACTATCAACCATTTAAAATGGAGGTTGTTTTCCTATTGAAATCTAATTTAAGGATAATAGATTTTATTGTGGGAGAATTAAGTGGAAATTTTCTCTTCAGAAGTCTTTGTCTCTAAACAATTTATCCTTTGAGATATAACAAATTGTCCAACCCAGTCCATTCAGTGATCTGAAAAATAGGCCCCCAGGAAGTTTCAAAAATATCCAATTCCATACAAGAGTTGGAAATATACAATTAAAACATCCCATCTGGACTCAAAGTTCTGTCTACTTTCCACTCAGACTTCTGTTTTCCCAAATAAATCTTGCATTCATGATTCTCCACAGCAACAGACACAAAAGCTGGGTGTGTCTCTTCCCAAGACCTTATTGTCACTACCAGTTAAAGAAGGGTCTGTACACACATGACGAAGCAGGAAGACACTTGGAGGGGATTGTGTTGGTTTGTCACTTCCTGACTTAAGACAGTTCTCTGTGCTCAGATGCCAGCCTGTGACCTGAGCTGATGATGACCGCTGCCTCCTAGGCTGTTGAGGCAGAGATTATGTGATGGGATAGAAGTAAAAGAGAGAGATAACACATTCAGGTCAACTTTCAAGGGAGAAACACTGAGCAAGGAATGAGCTCATTTAAAAGAGGCCAGAGATTAAGACCTTTGTCAGTACAGCTCATTTGACAATAACCCCTAAGGGCCAGAGAGGTTGCTTGTCTTTTAAGAGCATCCATTGTGCTTACAGAGAACTCAATGTTGATTCCCATAATCCACATCCGAAGCCTGAAAAACCGTACTCACATGCACACACCCCATACACACACTCACACGCACACACAAGTTAAAACATAAGCTTTAAAAGCTCACCCCTAACTTTCTTTTGTTATTGTTGGTTTATTGAGGCAGTCTTACTATATAGCCCTGGATGCTATCAATTCACAATCCTCCTGCCTCATCCACCAAAGTGCTGGAATTACAGGATAAAAAACTTTAATAAGTATATCATAAACAACTGAAATCCTAAGAGTCTCCCTTCCCCTTTCATTCCTTACAGTAGCCACCACTGACAACTGAAGCCAGTGAAGTGGCCTTCCCAAGGACACAGAGACACAGGCAAATGAACCACAGTAGAGTTAGATCCCAGAGACCTCTGAGTTATTATATAAAAGACTCCCTAACTATAAATATCACCCAAAGCTCAGAAAAGTTTCAGGCAGTACTGACCATACAAATCTTCCCTTCCTTGGAAAAGGGGACAAGACTCGTGATGATAACTCTTGTCACACATTCAACAATGTTCAGGATCTGACTATCCATAACATCATGTATACATCAAAATTGCACCAAGGAAATAACCAGCCAGTATTACTATGCCCATTTTACAGGTGAGGAAATGGAGCTCCAAATTAATACACCATCAAAGGAAGGAGTCATGATATATGCTAGGTTAGCCTGTTCCACATGCCTGACTCTGTGAACCATGTGAGCAAGTGTCCTCTGAAATTATCCTCCAACATGACGAACCCTCTCACACATTTCTTTTCAGCTCTGGATGGTCCATCTGGCCTGCAGACAGCAAACATCACAGACTCAGAAGCCTTGGCCATGTGGCAGCCAGCCATCGCCACCGTGGACAGTTATGTCATCTCCTACACAGGAGAGAGAGGTAAGTCCTGTATCATAGACTTTACATTCTGACGAGGGTTTGTCTGCTGAAAACTCCTCCCATTCTCCCTTCAACAGGCCCCAGGTTGATAAAACTTAGTGGCGTACTGGAAAAGCCAGTAATATCCTTGCATCCTCCACTGCATCCTCAAAAGAGTTAGATAAGCCTTTCCAGGGGAGAAAAGTAGGCGCAGCGGGAGCTTCTGTGTGTTTTTCTGACCCATCCCTCCTCTTCTATGAGACTCTTCAGTTACTCTTCTCATTGCTGTGATGGAATGAATAACTGATTAACTGAATGGGAAAAGGGTTTATTCTGGCCTATCATTCAAGAATATGATTCCCATATAGCAGGAAAGTCCTGGCAGCAGGAAGAGAAAGAGCTGCTGGTCACATTGTAGCCACAGGCAGGAAGCAGAGTAAACAACTGTATCCACAGGCAGGAAGCAGAGTAAACAACTGTATCCACAGGCAGGAAGCAGAATAAACTGTAGCCACAGGCAGGAAGCCGAGTAAACTGTATTCACAGGCAGGAAGCAGAGTAAACTGTATCCACAGGCAGGAAGCAGAATAAACTGTATCCACAGGCAGGAAGCAGAGTAACAACTGTATCCACAGGCAGGAAGCAGAATAAACTGTATCCACAGGCAGGAATCAGAGTAAACAGAAAACGGGGCAGGCAACAAGACCCTAAGGCTTTTCTCAAATGGCTCACTTCCTTTCACAGGCTCCACCTCCTCAAGGTACCAAAACCCTCTCAAGCAAGGAAACATAATTCTCCGCTATAGGACACAAAGAATCCAATAGTCCTGAGTGTCACTGTCAAGGCTTTGTTGCCTCCAATTGGAGGCCCTGGGGTGCCTAGTCTTCTCCGAGGCTACTGGAGGACCTAACTCTAACAAATTTGATTGAAAACTCTGATCTTCCCCTTCCTTTCACTCAGGTTACCAGTTTACCCAGTGGGCAAGTTGAACTATTTTGCTAAGACCATCAGCCAAACACGGCCATCAGGAAACAAATCAAATACAATTGCGAGAGAGAAAAAAGAGCCCCCTTCAAATAAACCCATCCATACTTTTATGATGAGTTATTCTAGAAAGGGTTCTGGTATTTCACTTCCCACATTTCCTATCTGATGGCTCCTCATTGTTTGGCTCTCACCGACACCATCTCATGACACCATGGGGGACTCTGAAAATCTAAATTTAGCACTGGAAAACCCTAAAAAAATTCTTTGTAAGAACAGCAAATCTGAGGCAGAAGGGAAAATTCAGTTTATCTCTTTTTCTCTTTCTTATTCCCTGCATGGAAACTCTTCTGAGACAGGGGTGGTGGTGTTGCCTCCCCTAAAACATCAGCTAAGGAGGGAATTGTGACATTTTAGATCAGAACTAATCAGGAGTCTAGCCAAAGAGAGTGGGGCTTGTTGATAATGATGCCAAGAAACCAAGATGTGCAGTTTTCTAGTGACTCCCAAAGGTTTAGCATTTAAAGCCCCATGACTTGAAGCCATGGTCTGAACAAAGCAGCGTGGGAGTCCCCATGATTATAAGACTAATAGTTTTACCAAGGAACTATAATTCTCCCCATTGGAATGAAGGAACCAACAGGCCTGAAAGCCACTGCCAGGCTCTTGTTATCTATAATTGTCACCCCTCAGCCTTGAGGATTCAGTGATCCTTGACTTGGCAACATTTGGTACTTTATAATAGGAAGCATACACAGAGAAAAAGGAGAGGATCCAGAAATGGAACAAGCTGAATTTGAGTTTAAGTAGCCCAAGACTCAGAGATGCTACCTGCAACTCTCCTATAGCTTATTCCCGCATCTCAAACACAACACGGTTCCAGCCAGTACACCGTGCTGTGTGGGTAGACATCTCCCCGTCTTCCCATCTGTTGCCTGAAAACATGTATGATCCATCTTTCGTCGTGTGAGTGCTCTAGAGAGAGAAGGAATATGAGCCATCTCCAAACAAACCTGTTTCGCTGTGGGGTCACGGAAGGGTTCCGTCTCAGAAGGAGATGTGCACTCTGTTTGACACATATGTATCTTTCACACTTAGTGCCAGAAGTTACACGCACAGTGTCTGGGAACACGGTGGAGTATGAGCTACAGGACCTGGAGCCTGCCACAGAGTACACACTGAGGATCTTTGCAGAAAAAGGCCACCAGAAGAGCTCTGCCGTCACTACCAAGTTCACCACAGGTACCAAGACAGCTGGAGGGGAAGTCTTCCTTTCTGAATCCCCCACCCGCAGCCTGCATCTTCAGCTGCATCCTCTCCCCTGCCCTTCCTCCTTAAGTCAGGCCCCTGCAATGCAATTACATCAGCATGAGTTAAATTCACCAGTGCCCACTCAGTCAAGACCCAAAGAAGCAAACTATTTCCTCTTGAACTGAAATGACCCAAGATGATGACAGGCTATTTAAAGGAAGGCTTTCAAGTGGAAAAACTTCCCTACTGGCCCTCAACTTGGTGTGTAATGACCCATGCTCCAGGCAGGGAAATAGTTTTTAAGAAGTTTTTAAGGCTAGTTTTATTAGATTTTCACTGGGGTTTTGTGTATATTGAGATTTTTATATAAAATTTGAGGAAATAAAGGATTGTCTCTTCTGCTGGGATGAGGGCCATTATGAGTATTTCTCAGTCCTCTCAGTTAGAAACAGTAGGAGTAATGATCTCCACAGCTCCTTTTTCTCTTCTACTTCAACCAAAACCAACCAGGAATAGGTTGGGCTTATGGACACTTGGGGTGACAGGACTCATATAAACTTTGACCTTGGAGATTGTTGGTTCAACTTCCTCATCTACACAATCAAGGAGGTTAGGAAAGGGACGTGAACCCAGTTCTCTTCCTACTCTCTGCTCCACATCTGGTAACTCCCTTGCTACACACTTTCTTCTCCAGACCTCGATTCCCCAAGAGACTTGACTGCTAGCGAGGTTCAATCGGAAACTGCCCTCCTCACCTGGAGACCTCCCCGGGCATCAATCACTGGTTACCTCCTGGTCTATGAATCTCTAGACGGCACAGTCAAGGTATCTGTAAATCTCACATTGCTGTGATAAACACCTGCATAATTGTCAAAGGAGGAAAGAATTGCCTGAGGCTGTTTCTCCACTCCAACGCAACTAGGAATCTAGAAAAAACTAGTAGAGACTAGACATGGCACCAGATCTTGTAAGTCTGCTCTCTCGCTTCTCTTCCTTTACCCAGACAACATTTTATAAGACTTGATATTTTAAGAGTTGGGCTCAAAGTCATTTAATGTTTCATCAAGGAAACACCAGCAGCATCTTTTGTATCTTTGCCACATGTAGAGGCAAAGTGGCACATGCCTGACCTACTATGATGTGCCTCTAACTACACCTATTTTAACTCTGTCTTCTCCCCCATGAACTTTTCTGTATTTCTAGGCTAACTTGCTTATTCTATGCATACTCAGCATTTTCCACCACCACATGTATGTTCTGTAACATCTTCCCTTTAGCTGAGAAATACACATCACTGCTATTGTAGTCTACAGTTCATATTATGTTTCTTCCAAACTTCATTATGCTGCAGTTTGACCTGGTGTGGTTTGGTCTTGTGTGGTCTGGTCTGGTCTCCCTTTTTCATGCTAGAAACCTTGTCCAAGTGTCTCTTAGTCTTGGTTTACCCTTTCATACTTGAACCAAGAATGAAGAAGTCGATTGGAAGTCGAGCTGCACATAAGGGTTTTGCGATACTGTGGTTCACCATAGAAATTAGCTGTGCATTGGCAATTTGTGGGGTCATCCCATAGAGCTTGAGTTCTTACTGTGCACATTTCACTTGATCTTACACTTCCAGTTGGTATCTTGACCTCCTCATCAACTGATCCTGGTAGATGCGAATCCAGAGCCTCCGCTCTAACTCGGGTGCTCTAGAGAGTGAACCTCATCCTTGCATCTGTCCTGGAAGGGAACAGGGAGAATGGGGAATCTAACAATCTCTCATACAAACCTTCTAAACTTATGGAACCTTTGTTGACTCCCATCCCACACTGCTTGCAAAGGCAGCTCTGCTGTTATACACATGCATCAGGAACTTGCTGGATGCTTCAGCGTATGTCAGCCAGCCTCTGGTGGCTCTGCCCATTCCATTTAGTCCCTAGCTCTCTCTATTCTGGCCCTGTGGGAAGTGTTTTCTCTACCAGCTACCTTCTGCCCAGCAAGGTTCATAGGATCCACCTGTTTCTCTCTTTCCTCTTCCCCTTCACTTTTATAGTTTCATTCCTTATACTTGACTCACTTTTGGCAGGTATAAGAAGTAAGTAGAGGCATATTGATATTTCCAGTCTGCCATGTTTAACCAAGAGTAGACACAGTTCTAGTTTCCCCACCTCTTCTGGAGTTGGTATTCCATGGATAATTCCACATGAACTGAAGCTGGCCCATTATCTTCATGCATCCCTGTACATACTTTTAGATAAGTGTGATGCACTCCCAGACACCCGAGGTCTTCTCCAGGTCTGGGTTCTAAGATCATGCCTCAATGGCTCATGGGTCACATTTCAGGCATCCTAGTTGCTTAGAAGACTGAACACAGAAGCATAAAGAAGAATGAAACTCTATCTGCAGGCGGTTGAGTGAGCCTGACTTTGTACCTGAAAGTTGATCCCTCCCCAAAGACCATATCTGAGGCACACACAAAGTTCACTGGGTCTCTGTCATTGAGTGAACACTTAAGAATCATGGATAAGGTGCTGGGAGACCAGAAGGATGTGACACCATCCTTTATCACCAACAAATTATGGATTGGGAGCAAGTGTCTCAGATTATGTTTTTTTCAATTCCTGCATTCATTCCCAGTTCCTGGGAAGTTTGAGAACCTTCCAGGGGCCTCCACACTGACCTATGACTAATTACAGTCAACAAGCTATGCTGATGGGTTGTAGAAAGCAGGGTTGTGTTTGGGCTGCCAGGATGGAGATTGGATTCAGTCTCAGCCAACAAGGTCATCTGCTAATAAGAATTGGAACCTAGTAAGCATCAGACAAAGTGATCTTCTACACACTGAGCTCAGCCACTAATCTAGACAGCAACCCAGGGACCAGTCACAAGCATAGTGTGAGTCACACATCTGTCCTTTGGGGGTCAACTCAAGCCTACATCCTGGCCTACCTACTGGGCTAGCACCATCATCTTCTGACTCAAGAAATCCTAAACATGACTCCTAGCTTCCTAGATATACATCTGCCTCCCCATCCTGTGATATTCAGTAAGTCTGGGTGGGCTAGGGCCCAGGTATCAGGCTGTTTTGAAGCTGTAACAGAAAGAGCCCTCTTTAGGACTGCTGACCTAAATATTCTAAATATCTCTCACCCCTTGTGCAGTTCACCTTACCATCAGCTTAAGCTTCTTAAACCGCAACAGGTTAGGCTTATTCAAAAACCTTTCCAACATCCCCATTTCTTTTAAGGATACACTGTGAACTGCATAGTGTGTCCTTAAAGGTATTTTGTAATCCCTAATCCCTCTCTGCTAGTTTCCACTACCCCTCCCATCTGAAACTAAGTGTAGTTGAAGTTTTAACTTTCTCCACCTTTCTGCCCCCAGAACCTTTACTCATGAAGCACCCGTATCTCTGTCATTCTAGATGTGCACATGGAATCTGGCATGCAGTAGGTACTGAGTAGATTTCTGTTGAGTGTATGGATGATTGTATGGATCAGTAAAAGAGGGCTTCTCTACCATGAGACTATCTGGGACCAAACTGATTCTTTCTCCTGCCCACAGGAAGTCATTGTGGGACCAGATACCACCTCCTACAGCCTGGCAGACCTGAGTCCCTCCACCCACTACACAGTGAGGATCCAAGCATTGAGTGGATCCCTAAGGAGCAAGCTGATCCAAACCATCTTTACCACAAGTAAGGGGTTCATTGAGGACACAGTCTTAAGGTTTGACCCTGTAACAGTGAATCAACCTTCTGCTTCCTCTTCAACTTCTATTTTACACTTTTCAAGCAAAACTATCTAAAAGGTACCAATTTCCTACTAGTGCTTGGAAGCCTGGGAATGTGGGTGTATGCAAATAGTTCCAGACATCCTGGTGAAAGGCAAAGGAGGGCTACTTAGAGTTCATCTAGATCCAGGCCTTATCTCCATTTACTTACTGTGTATAGCATAGAAGTTATCTACCTTCTAAAAGCCTCAGTTTTTTTCATCTTTACAATGTGATCAAAAACCATCCCTTCTTCACAGGTACCATGTGAGAAGAGGAGGTATTGTATTTGAGTTCCTAGCTCAGTGTGTGACTCTACACTGTTGTGTTTAATATATATTCCCTCTCCTTCAGCATGAAGGAGCACTGACTTAGAGAAGCAGATGTTTGCCTTTAGGATAATGAGCCTCTGCCCAGCTGGCCAGCAGTCTGTTCTGGAAGTACCCGCCCCTCCCTCTGCTCCCAGAGTCACACTTTCTCTTTATCCTGCAGTTGGACTCCTGTACCCATTCCCCAGGGACTGCTCTCAAGCAATGTTGAATGGCGACACCACCTCTGGTCTCCACACCATCTATATAAATGGTGATAAGACTCAAGCACTGGATGTCTACTGTGATATGGCCTCGGACGGAGGTGGATGGACTGTAAGTACCACAGTAGATTCTAGAGGTCCCCGACAGGGCAAGGGGAAATGGGGAATATCCTCCTCGCTGTATGTCTAACATACATATGCATAAGATATTGCAAGATAGTCCCTGTCACATGGACACCCTTCATAATTCCTATTTAAATAGAAAAGAAGGGCTGTAGATGTAGCTCAGGTAGTAGAGTGTTTGCCTGGAATGTACAAAGTTCTGAGTTCAATCCAAGAACTGCATAAAACCAAGCATAGTTGATAAATGTCTACTTGTACTCAGGAGTTGGAGGCAGAAGAACCAGGAGTTTAAGGTTATCTTAAAATATCAGTTTGAAGCCATTCTGAGCTATCTGAGACCCTGAGTGAAAAAAAAAAAAGCAAAAGAGAAGTGGGGTAGAAATGTGGAACACTAAAGAGTGGGGGGAAAGAACTGTAAGTTAAAGAACGTAGCATAGGAAATAATTGTTTTATAATTTATCTATTCTGTCCTTTCTCAAACAACTCTGACAGCAGCGATGCTGACAATCAAATCTACTGCTTATATCAACCAGCACCTGCTGAGCAGCTACTCTCTACCAGGGATATGTTCAGAATTTCCGAATTTATTTCTATCCCATGGCCATGTTGGCTGTATGGGATATATTACTGTACTAAGAAGCCTTGTTTGCAAGTCGTTGCCCCCAACCTCTCCTCCACTGTCAACATCAGGGTCATGTTTCATGAAGACTGATGAGAGGCACTGAGGCTACACTGTCACCAGAGCTAAGTAGTATTCCAGTCCCTAGTTTCCAGAAGACCTAAACTCAAGGCAGGTAGGGGAAAGCATGGTGTATCCAAAGTCACACGGCAAATAAGCAATGAACAGAGCTGGAGATTGGTGCTCTTTCCACAGCCTGGTGCTCCTCCTACCAGAAAGACATCTTCTCTTCCCTTCCATCATTTAAGTGTACCCACATACATTATGTTGTAGGTTTTCCTGAGACGCAAAAATGGACATGAGGACTTCTATCGAAACTGGAAGGCTTATGCTGCTGGGTTTGGAGACCGCAGAGAAGAATTCTGGCTTGGTAATGCAGCCCTGAAAGCTTGAGTCAGATATGCCTATTTCTGTCTTCATCACTTGTCCTACTGCAGTGAGCAACAGGGAACGTTAAGGATTAGATGAAAAAAAGTTTTGTGGGAGATACAGAATGTTGAGATAATTACATGTTCTAGGTCATAAAAACAAAAGTGTTAACAAGACAAGCCTCGTGGGTCAACCTAGCATTAAGTCAGACACTAAACCACTTATAAAACCAACCTGACTGCTGCCATGGATTGCTTTCCTCTTGAGCTCCAGACACAGAACAGGTCTCATGTCTCACAGTGACAATCGCTCACCCAGAACGTCCCAGCAAAGAGCAGAAGTCCTATCTTGCTCATGAGGAAACAGACCCTCAAGGAGGTGTTATGGTTTATCTCTGGGAATCTAGCAAATATCATAAATACCCTGTAATTCAAAATGTCCAAGTTCGTATTATAGTGCCACCATCCATCAGGGACACTTTCCTGCAAGCTACCTGCACACAGCATCATTCTCCGCACCATTGCCTGACTGAGCCTGAGACTTCCATCCCAGTGGTATCCATTGCTTCACAGCAGTTAGGAATTTTAAAGTGTGTAAGTCATGGCCCTCTGAGCTTCATGATGTGATAGGAAGTATAGAAAGTTGATAAGCAAAGGCGTTGAACTGTTTTCTATGAGGCTCAGAAACATGACATTTGTTTTTTGCCTGACATCATATCAGCTACAGAGAAGGTTTCAAGCCTAAATCTGTGTGATACGCCCCACTGCTGAGTGTTCCCAGGCTGCCTTGGTCACCTGTGCTTTCTTATCAGTCCTTGTCTGTCATCCACAGGACTGGATAACCTGAGCAAAATCACAGCCCAAGGGCAGTACGAGCTCCGAGTGGACCTACAAGACCATGGGGAGTCAGCCTTTGCAGTGTATGACAGATTCAGTGTGGGAGATGCCAAGAGTCGCTACAAGCTGAAGGTCGAAGGATACAGTGGAACGGCAGGTATGGGTTAGCTACACTGTGAGGCTCTGAAGTCACAAGAGACGTCCTGTGGATTCCTTCATTCACCCTTCCTTCATGTCTTCCATTCCTGATCCATCCACTTACTTGAATCAATAGATATTTGAATGTCTTCTGTATGCTAATTCAGAAAAGCTAATATTAAAAGGGTTTGGCCAACATCTGATCTCTGAGATGAATAGCAGGTCAGAAATCATGTCAACTATGACTGAGTTATAATGACTCTAATTTTTTTTTAAGAAATGTGTTTCTTGTTCCTTTGTAGCTAATTGTTGTAGAGTGATGGGAAAACGGTCTTCCAAAGGCTCTATCTTCACCAAAGCCTCCTCAGTGCTTTCCTGTGATAGGCACGTGATGTCTATGAGGATGTGCCAATGTTAAGATTTTGCCATAACCAGGTGTCAGGGACACAGTCCAGATAATGTGTTTCTTATAAGTTTCCTGGTGATGCCCACATTCCTGGCATGGCTAGACTCTTGACTGACTGGCAAGACACCTTTTGTTCTTCACCTAGATCATAACCCTAGTTTTGAAAATGTCTCTGACTTGAAGTGGTTTTGTATAGTTTTCTGGTTCTACATTAGAGCAGCAACATGTAAGGAAGCCATTCTTATCCAGGCTATGAGGTAGAACCCATCATTGCAGGCATTTTTTTTTTAACTGGGCTGTTCCCCCAACCCCATTGAACCCTCCCAAATGTCTTTTAGTAAAATGACATAAAGATGAGGAAATGTCTTAGGAAAATTCAGGAATTTGTCCAAGATGCTCACAGAAGTAGTGTGTGTGCATGTGTGTGTGCCTGTGAAGAATAGTGGTAACAAGGAGGGGCCAGGTAAAGAATGTAGACCATGCATGCCATGGCTCTTTGGGTGGTCCTATTCTATGCTTATGAAAGCAGGAGACAGATTTGCAACCTCTCTGAGAGCCCTTCTAGAATGGGAAAAGTCTTCACCTTTTACTAATGGGTCCCAAAGCCAGTGAAAAGGGGACACAAAGCTCTTTTGAGATGCAATTTGGTAAGAAGGAAGAGAAATAGTCAGGAGTGGAAGTTATTTTAGTGCTTACATGCCTCAAAAATATCTGACGCTTTATCACCTGACAATAAATACCTCTTTGGTTGAGATCGCTTGAGGAAAGAAGAATCTTGTTACATGGCAGGAAAACCCACCAACCAAGAAGGATGTTGCCTGTGTCTACTGTTTATATCTCTGATGAAGGAGAACACTCTTTCCCTTCTCTCAGAGTAACATCTTCAGGCTGTAGCTTCCTATATGCTTTGGTGGTGGTGCCTCACAGAAATATTCATCAATGATTTGCCGGCGCTCTGTATGTTGTGGATAGCATCATTAGTTAAAAGACTCCTGAGATCCTTTGACAGCTTGCTCCAAGATCTCAGCATCAAATACCTGGATGTCTTAGAATGCCTACATGCAATTACACGGTTTAAGAGTAAGGAGGACCCAGACAATATTCCCAAGTAGCGTATATGTAAATGAGGTTCTTACATATGAATCAGGTAACACCAGCCTGGTGGTAAACACTTTTATAAAATGATTATGTGATACCCAGGCTATCTGAATATTTAGAGACTGAAGGTTTTATTAATGACTATAGCCAGATATCTTTGTATATGAAGGACAAGCCCACTGTTACTATTTCTGTTTTGTTTATTGGCACACAGTCTCGCTATGTAGCCCACGCTGTTCTCAGATGTGGGCTTCCTACCTTAGCCAACCCCACTCTTATGTTGAGATTACAGATGTTCCCCACCAGACCTGACCCAAACATCATTATGAAATGCAAAGTTTCTCCTTATCCCCATCGGTCTTTTATGCAAAGAAAATGTAGACACATCATGAACAACAACCCTGGCTGCTTGTATGCCAGTCTCCCTGTCCAGAAAAAAAAATTCACATCCAGTGTTAGAACAGCAGTGTGAGGTAGACAGAATTTATGGGATGACTGCATTTTATAGATGAAAAAACTGAGGCTTAGAAGAACGCTTGGCTTATGTCAGGTCACAGTTAGAAAATCAAAGAGATGGGACTTGAATGGAACCTTCCAGAGCCACCTGCAGCATTCTTTCTTACCATAGAACAGTGCTTTTCTTCAGAAATAAGTGGCGAGGGTGACACTCATATCCCAAGCTTCCATCCTCATTCTGGAATTGAGGCTCAGTGCCAGCATACCCATGGGTCTTTCAGTTGTTACCTCTGGTTCTGCCCTACAAAACCTCAGGGGGTAGTGCAGCTGTGATTTTTGGGAGGTCTTTATTCTCTCTTCTCTTTCTCACTTTTACTCTCAATCAGGTGACTCCATGAACTATCACAATGGCAGATCCTTCTCCACCTATGACAAGGACACAGACTCAGCCATCACCAACTGTGCTCTGTCCTACAAAGGAGCTTTCTGGTATAAGAACTGTCATCGTGTCAACCTGATGGGCAGATACGGGGACAATAACCACAGTCAGGTGAGTAGTCTGTGACAGCCCACAACTGACAAGGCTAGGGAAGCAAGATGTGGGTCAGGGAAGGACACCTCATTAGAAAATTTGTTATCTTTCAACACAGTGAGGAATCTCAGGGACAAATCATCTAAGATAAAAACAGCACATATTAACTCTTGAAGAGCTCAGGAAGAACTAACCACTGCCCAAATAGGTCATAAATATAGAATTTCCCTCAGATAAAAAACTCTGTAAAGCTAATGAAGGGGAACACTATTTCAGGGAAGCAGGGGTAATGTAGACCCTGGCAGAGTTCAGGCCCACAAGTGTCTTCAGACTCCCAAGTAAGACATGGAATGAAGCATGAATTTCAAATTCCCCTTGTTTTATTAAGGTACCTACATCCTTTGACAAATGGCTCTCCTGATTTTGGAAGCATGGCTAAACCCCCATATGCTTAAGCCCCTGATTATTCCCTGAGCCCCATACACTCTCATACAACTCCCACCATCACAGAATTTTGAACTCTTTAGAAAAAAGTGAAGAAACCACACTCAGAAGCCCACCTTGCTGAGCCCTGTCTACACTAGCAGCCAAAAAAACAACAGCAAATGGGGCCAGCTACTTAATCATGACTAACCCCAGAACTGGCTCGTTCTGAAACATCCATCCCCTCCCCCAGGAAGAAGGGACAAGTATGGTCTCTAGGTCACATCATGTTTAATCCTAACCAGGTCTCTTCAAGATCCCAGTGAGTACACTAGCCCAGGTTATATGCCACAGTCCCCAGCGCCTGGTAGGGTGCAGGATAGCAGCCTCCTGAGTGTTTGTTGTTTTGTTGCTCTTGATTTCAGGGTAGGGTATTTTGAAAAATGCTGCATGGGTAATTCTTGACATGCAGCAGGTACTAGGGACTGCTAGGTTTTATTATTAAATTTGCCAATGTGCTTATGACTTGATCAATTGAATACTAGAAAATGACATCCATGAGCTTAAACGTAGATCTTACCTTGACATAATATTGCTTTTCAAGCTCTCTGACCTATATATCCTGTGCTTGTAATCTTCACTCTATGGAGAAGCAGGGAGTGTTTTTTCATGTATGTTACAGAGGAAGCAAGAATGGAAAACTACCTCTTTACATCAACTCTTGGCTCTATCCATCTCATTGCCTAGTCCCCTAATGCCAGTGTGATACAGAATAAACAAAATAAAAACCTTTAAGTCACAAAAAAAGAACATGTTTAATTCCAGCAAGCAGAGGCAGGCAGATCTCTGTGAGTTTGAGTCCAGCCTGGTCTACAAGAGCTCCAGAGTTACAGAAAACCCTTGTCTTGGAAAACCAAAAAAGAAGAACACATCATTTATTTTCTCCTTCAATCCAATTTTCAAAGCAAAGATGGCATCAAAGGCCACAAAGAACTCACAAGAGCTCAGATCTACCTCTGGCTCTCACAGACCACCATGTGACCTCTGTGAGGTCTTTTTTCCTCTCCAGCTTCAGATCCCACCTTCAAGGATTCTTGGCTTCTAGCCAGCCTTGAACTTCTTTTGAAGCAAAGAGAGGTCAGTAGGTGGAACAACCTGTCAGGTTACAGGACCTCACTGTAACTGTGTGGTTACTGTGTGAAATGAACCAGCCACTCTCAGATCCCACCCTGCTTCAGGCTTAGAGATGGATGGCCTCCTACTACCAAATGCCAAAAACTAGAATCAAACTAAAAGAATCTTGTAATTTCTCTCATCTCACTAACCATTGCTTTGTCTGGGGACACGTTCCTTGTAGTTCTACTCGGAGCAAAAGGTCAGTGGCAAGGGGTGATGGCCTTCAGAAATACAGCCTGAAACTTTGATGGCCTAACCTGAGCATCCCCTGCATACTCTTGAGTGCAAACTCAAACATCTCTAGGCCCTATGAAAGAGACACATGGAGAACCAAGAGGCCTGGGTACAAATGGTGTCTTATAGAAAAATCTTTGTATTTCCTTGAAGTGAGGGTCCCCAGCACTGAGCCAGCACATCAGCAAACTGACTTATCCTTCAAGGATCTTCCAAGGTTGACAGTGGTATGTGTCAAGAAAGCTGAATTACATGTAATAAAGCTGAGTCTTGATCATTATTGTCGCACAAGTATATATTAGTGTGTGTGACTCTAACTATGGAGTAGGTTTAGATCCAGCCTGCCCTTTTGAAAGTTTTCACAACACAGACCAGAAAAAAAGAGCCTAGAGACAGCTGCCTGTGAAAGGCAAAGTAGTCATGAAATCTGTTTGGATAACTAAATGGTGATGATCCACAAACAGGTCTCCAACTGGAAACTAACCCAGAGGGCTCTGGGGTTTTTTTTTTTGCAGGGTGTTAACTGGTTCCATTGGAAGGGCCACGAGCACTCAATCCAGTTTGCTGAGATGAAGCTGAGACCCAGCAACTTCCGAAATCTCGAAGGCAGGCGGAAGCGAGCATAAACTCCCCGAACAACCGAGTGAGAGAAGAATGGTGCCCAGAGAAAGGAAAGAAATTTTACCAAAGCATCAACAAGGCCGGTCCAACAGTCAAGCTCTCCCTGGGCATCTGCCGGGTGTCTGATCTGGCCATGGGTCACTGAGTCCCTGGAATAGGCCCCTGCAGTTACTTCCTTTGCACCAAAGACAGCAGTCTGCAACCAGTTTCTGCTCTCTTGTTTGACGAGCAAAGCCTTCCAGTGATAGCAACACAATGAGTTGGGTTTTTTTGTTGTTGTTGTTTTGTTTTGTTTTGTTTTTTACTTCTCTTGGGTGGTTCTGGGAATGGAAGAGGGGTAGTCTGGCTCTACAGTGGATGTAGTCATTTTTGCACAAAGCCGTATAATTAATTGTTATTGTTTGGGGTAACAAAGATAAAAATGTGTGTAATTGAATGTTACCCCCTCCTCCCTGTTGGTTTGTACATTTCATAAAACTGAAGCCAGAAAAGTGATACTGTTTAAATTTCGAGAACATTAATATTATTAATATAATAATGGTGGTGGTAATAAAGAAAACTGAGGACTTTTTAAGAGATGTTCCCTTCCAAAATGCATCTGATTGTATTTTTTTTTAATAAAAGCACAAGTACTTTCGAGGTTTGTCTGTGATGCTGATTTTCATGGTCAAGTCTGGATTTCCCCAAAACCAGTGTATCAGAACAAAGGGAGGAATGTTGGAAAGCGGAAGGAAGGGAAGACAGTGCTCAACTGCCAGGGAAGAGGAGAGAGGAGACAAGGGGCATGGAGGGAGGGTCAGCAAGAATTCCACAAGGTTGAAAGAACTTACACTCTAAGATCGAGCTCCGTGCTTGGCATTTAAATGATTTGTAATTTTCTTTTTAAATTATGATTTGTCTTTTAAAGACACCATGCTGTCAATTTTCTAGAGCTGTCTAGAAACCCTACGGACACGAAGGGAATGATAACACAAGCACACTTCTCAAATTCTACCATGCCCAAGATCCCTAACTTCTCTGAGCCTCTACTTCATAATCATAAGTGATATGCCCACTTATTGTCTCATAGTATTTCCATGAAGAATAAACTTAGCAGTCATGCATGGTACTTAACACATACTAAGGCAATAAGTGTATGTTATCTCTACTATGACTGTCTATGAAATGGCTCATAGTCTTGGCTGATGCTGCTTACTCAATTAAAAAATGGAACTCTGTTTAGACCTGTGTCTTTGGCCCCAGTGTGCTGCTCCCTCCCTGGCCCCTAAGGAAAATCTCTCCTTCTTGGTCCTTGGTGTGCCATGGTGACAGAGTTCTAGTTGCAAATTAAAACAGTAAGTGGAATTAAGCTGTTCAGTGTTTTGGGCACTCTTGAATCTAGAAAAGATGCCTGGACCATCTCCTTCTCCCCCTTCACCGAAGGCCCTGAGAGGAAGAGAGCTCCAAACTCAGCCCAGACACTTCTCAGTGCCAGCACTCCCACCCAGCCCAGCAGGCCCGTGCCTGCTCAGTAGTGCGGTGAGTCATGGTCACAGACAGTGACATTTCCCTTCAAACCAGGCACAGGGCAATTCCTAGCTCTTCATCGTAGAGATTCTCAGCAAATTGACTTGTTTAATGGAAGTGTTTGGGCTGCTGGACCTTCTTCAAATGGAATGCAGTGGTTCAGAAGCCAGGATGAAAGGAATTCATGGCTCCAGCCAGATCCTTTGCTGCCGAGTTTATCTTGCTTTAATAAATGCTGTCTTGTTATATACACAATTCGTGTTCCAGATCATAAGACCCATCACCTGCACCCCAGCCATAGCAACGTTCTTCTGGCTGCACAAACCCAAATAAACCGATCTCCGTAACAACCAGGCTTTAAGTGGGAGGCTTAACTCTCCTTTGACCACTGCCACTGTCTAAGCCCAAACATCACCCCTCTTCAGGACTGTTGGTAGACATAGCAGTTAAAGGCCTCCTAAGACCCACACAAGAATCAAGCCCTTATTAGAAAAGAGGCCACATCAGACAAGAGTCCTTAGTTACAGTCTTAAAGAGAGTTTAGATGCCCTTGAAGGAAAACTGGCTACCAGAGGGTTCTAGACCAATTGTTCAAAGCCCAACACTGTTGGTCCTTCAGTCTCCAATCCTGTGGCTTTTCCAGGCAACTGCCTGCATCTGGAAGTCTCTTAAAACTATACTCCATACTCGAGGTCACGTCCCACTGACATGAAGCAGACAAAATCACCACTGACATTAGCATCCAGGGTGTTCAGTTGGCCCTGACGCCTTTGCCTCATCCACTCTCCTCATCTTCCCTGCTTCATGCCACACTAAAAACTCCAAAGTTATTACTGTAAGATATACAAAAGCCTCCCAGCTTCTTAGAGAGCATGGCAAATGGGAGGCACCAGCATTCTGTTGAAGCGGGGCTGAGGGTGGGGCAAGCTAGGGAACTTATCTGTCTATTCCATCTCTGTGCCGACACTGTAAGCTGACATAGTCTCTCCTAAGGTTCAACAATGGCCAACTGACTGTCTAGACAACTCTCTTCCCCACTGAGGTTCAGATAGTTGACCCTGCCATTTACCTGCTCTAATCAGAATGTTGATTCTGCACAGAGACTTGGGGAGCTGTGTTGGCCCTGTGGTTCTGCTCCACTGGCAAGCACCTTTGATAAAGTCTCTTGCTCTGATTTCTCACGGACCCCGACAGGTGGCTCACTCTTGGGACTGCCTGGATGTTTGGTGTCACTGATAATCCCATGCTTCTCCTATACACTGTCATTTGTCTCTCTTCTCTCTTTCTGTAGTAACCATTGGTCACTTAATGAATTCTCAGCATCCAAACTCCTATCTGTATCTATCAGACTTCCCAGTGGCTAAGGATACTGTAGTCTACCATGAAAGCCATGGGGAAAACATTTCATTGCCCACCTGATTGTCAGTTAAATACTCACAGAGGAACTGCTATTATTGACCAAGGAATATATTAATAAAACAGAGGGCCCCAGGATTGGCTTCCCCATAGTATTTATCGACAAGGTCACCTAAGCAGTGTCTAGCAGGGTATTCTACTGGAAGTGCCACAAATGCCCAGTCCAGTTTGCTGAGTTGAAGCTGAGACCCAACAGCCTTTTTCTCACATACAGAAGGTAGACATCATCTCCATCCGAAGCAGACACTGCCCCCTGTGCCTTCTGGAGAAGTGTTCTTGAAAGACCTGATGGGAAGACTCCCCTGATGCTGTACTCAGCCTTGACAAACAGGACTTGCTTGGCAACGCCTAGATCAGTAGAGCATAAGGCAGTATCTCTTTGAGGGCATTTTATGGAAGACTAGATAATAGGGTTATAACTCATAATTTAACCCATTGATGGCTCAGACTTTGAACAGACTATTAAGAGAAAGTTCAACAACGGAAGTGAGATGTAAATGGGAAAGTTTAGCATTCAAAGGCGAGACCTCAGCCATGGCCCCTTCCTATTGCACTCTTCCTCTGAGCTTCCATCAGGATGTTATGGCGTTCTTCCTTAGAGCAGACTCAGAAACAATGGGTCCAGCATACCATGAATGGTGCTTGAATATGCAATGTTTTCCATGGGCTCATAAATTTGGACACTTGGCCCCCAGTTGGTGTCGCTGTTGGCAAAGGTTGGGGAAGCCTAGGAAATGAGATCCCAGTGGAGGAAGCTGTTCACTGAGGGCAGGACTTGTGGTTTCATAGCCCATCCATTCCTTCCTGTTAGCTCTCTGGTCAGTGATTGCGGTTGTTATGTGACTGGCTGGCCTTCTCTTGCCGCCATGCCTTCCCTGTCATGATGGAATGTGTCCCCTGAAACCATAAGGAGGAGCAACTTCTTTTCTGAAGTTGCTTCTTGTCGGCATGTTGCTGTAGCAAAGAAAATTTAAAAAATAAAAGAAAAACACTACAAATGGAACCCTCCCAAACAGGGGTGCCCTCGCACCTTTCCGACATTGGGGGCTTTTTTCAGGTATTGCCACAGTGATACGGACACTAAGAAAGGAACACAGGCCCTGAGATCTAATTCTGTAGGAGTTCATCAAGTGAAAGAAGCAGGGGAACTGGAGAGTATAGCATATCTGCAGGCCAAACACTTTCCTGCTGCTGAGATTGCCAGAGCTGCCAGGGCAAGAAGAGCTATATTAGTTACTTGTGCACTGCTGGGACAAAGTACCCAATAAAAGCAGCCTAAGGAAAGGAAGCATTATTCTGGCTCACAGATTGGGACTGCGGTCCTCGTGGTGGGTGGGGAGGCTGTGGTAATGGCAGCAACAGGGGATAGAAAGCAGAAGATCGCAGCACATCTCCAGCAAGGAGCAGAGAGACACGGATGCTGATGCTCAGCTAGTTTTCTCCTTGTTTCTACTTGATCCCTTCCAGGATCCCAGCCCATAGGAGGGTACTGTGTACTTTCAGGATGCCTCTCACTCTTCAGTTGATCCTCTCTGGACACATCCTTAACCTAATGAAGCCAGCAGTGGAAATTAGCCAACATAGATACCTAACAGAAGAGCCTCCAGTGAGTGTCAGGGACCACACGACCCTCACTAGGACAGAACAAGAATTTTTAAAACCTGTTTTTGCTGAATTCAATGAAAAACTGCTGGAAGATGAGTATTACGTTCAAGCCCTTTTCACTAAAACCGTTTTATGATGCAGCTTGGAAGTGGGCTGGAGGTGTGGTGATGAACTTCAGCCGAGCGGGTTGTGCAGATGGAGCATGGGATTCAAGGGCAGCACCCACAGGTTTGGGACTAGCTACAAAGCGCTTCTCCATGCCTGCCCTGTTCTGAGCTGCTTGCAGTAATTACCTGGGATTTATCTGTCAGAACTCAGGTGTTAGTTTCTATTTGGGCAGCCCAAATAAGGGCATGAGAAGCAGAGTGGGAGCCTCATTCACTTGAGAACAGGGAGCCAGCAGGGTCCTGAGGTGCTGGCTTTGCTTCTTGGAAGTAGGCTAGGTGAGAAATTCTCTCATGGTGACTGTGCTTAGCATGAGGCCTAGTGGTGAGGTCAAGGTGAGGCCTGGATGGCCAGAGTGAAGTTGGTGAGGAACAGAGGTGAAGGTGTTGGGAGGACCTTGACTTAAGACTTAGTGTCTACAGACTGCAGCTGGGAGTGACTGAAGCTATTGAGCCCAGATTAGCCCATGGCTAGCCTTGCTCTCTAAGAAGTGCAGTTTTTCATTAGAAAGGTGCATTCCGGTCCCTCTTGTCCTTCCACCTTGGGAACACTGCAAATGCCACATGCCACATGAGCTTACTGCCAGGGTTTGTGCTAGTGCCTAGCATCAGCGTCCAGCAGGGGCTTCACTCTTCTGCTCTTCCTGACACCCCAAGAAACCCACAGATGAACTCGGTCTCTGGAAAGGAAGCCCAGTGAGGTTCATTTGGGAATCACCCATTCCCTCTAGGACTAGAAAGTAAAGCTTAATAATTTACGGTAAACACATACAGAATAGGGGGACTTCAAATTAAGTAGCTTCCATATGCACACCCCACATTTTAAGTTATAGGTTGGAGATATAAGTCTCTGGACAGGGAAATGCTTCCCCCAAGTTCACCCAGACCCTAAATGTAGAGTTTGTGAATGCGTAAAATGGGAATTAAGAATTGTATCCTGATGAAATA